CTAAGATAGCTAGGCAGATTCGGCCTTCTTTTTGGATTGATTGTACATTGCGTTGTTGAGACATGGTGGTTGAAAGCTAACGGAGCGCGTTTTGGTGATGAGGTGGCCGGCTCGCTTGGGTGGCCGGCTCGCTTGCGTTGCACGTTACCATAACGACAACGAAGTGAAAAGTGACGTTCCACTGTGTACCACTAACGGCACTTGTTGATTATATACGGCTCTACGCCAGTCGGGCACTGATCTTTACAAGATTCTGGTCTTGACATCGGTGAGAAGTTTCAGGTGACAGGATAATATGTTGAGTTTCTAGGTCTACTGAAAAATGAAGGCCTATGAGGGCTCATAACTAATTATCTTAGGGGAGGGATAATTGTACACCTCCTAAGCACTCCACGTATACAACCCCCCTCCCCTCTCCCCTCCTCCCCCCTTGTCACTTCAACACCTTCTAATTGGCTCGGAGCAGCGCAGAGCTTCCTCCGGCCATTCACCCTTACGTCCATCTGCACGTGCATCCTATCCGTTTCATATATTTTATCCGTTTTATGAGGCCGTATGTGAGGCTGTACATGATGCGGCACGGCTATACAGCCTCTCTAATTTATAGCGCATTCTATTTAATTCCTTTAGCCGTATATACGGCCGTGCGCGAGGCCGTACGTAAGTTCCTACATAAGGCCGTATGTAAGGCCGTAAGTAATGCTATACATAATGCCGTATATATAGGTATACGCGCAGTGCCGATGTACTGTAACTAGAAGGATGCTAAAACTATTAAAACGTCGTCTTATAAGGGCTCCTTTCCATCTTGCCCGGCTTGCCTGCATCGCCGCCTGCATCGCCGCCTGCATCGCCGCCTGCGCTCGCTCGTTCACTTCTAAGAGGAGCACGAGAGGAAGCTTCGAAGAGTCGGCCCGGCCGCTCCAGCCAATCAGAAGGTGGTGAAGTGACATGGGGGAGGGAGGGGGTGTATATGGAGTGATTAGGGGGTGTACGTGGAGTGATTAGGAGGTGTACGATTATCCCTTCCCTTGTCTTAAAGACAACAAGAATTAAGCTTTGTCGTTCTGCTCTTAGGCGGACTGCCCTTTTCCGAAAGTCGTTCTACATATTGTAAATGTAGCATAGTCTAAGCCACACCCGCGCCACCTTACCGTCTGCCTTACCACCCACCAAGCCTCCCAGTTCGCCACCAGCCAATACAAAGGTAACACTGAACGTAAGCTTGAACATAGAACACTAGATCACTTGCTACAGCCTCTGCTGACATTCTGTCTGTCCTACAAGTCATAAATGCAAGTGGGCCTCTATGATATTCTGAACCCTTCATTTCCTTGCTCTTTTCTATCTTCAACATGGGTCTCTTTAGTTCGTCAAAATCAGACCAGCCTCAAACTCCACTCCCATCTCTCGAGCTCCGTCTCGCCCATTCAAAAGATACCGTCATCAAGCCTGGTAATACAATCACCGGAGAACTCACACTATCAACTACGGTGCCCATCACCCCGCAAAGCATCGAGGTAGCCTTCTGGGGCCAAAGCCAGACATGGCTTCGCACTTCAAGCAGTACCAATAACTCCACAACCTACTACCATTTCCGCGACCAAGCGCCCCTTTTCACGGTGACATGTGATGTCCTCCCAAAGACTGACGGCGGTGCGCTCCTTCCGGGCCAGCCATACGTAATGCCCTTCACGTTCACAACGCCCATGGGCACCGGCTTCAACCGCGCAGAAGTCTACAAACACCCCGAAGACCCCGTCTTCATCATCGGCCCACACGACCTTCCCCCAACCTTCTTCCACGGGCGAAACGGCCCCGACAGACCCGACCAATGCTCCATCTCCTACGGCGTAACTGCTCACCTCACCTGCGCCAGCCTCCCCGCCGGCGGGCACTCCTGCACCGCCCCCGTCCTCTTCGCGCCCCTGAACCCCTACACGCACATCCAGCACCCGAACCGCCACCGCTACGCGAAGAAGCTCGCGCTCTCCAGCTCCGTGCTCGCCGGGGCCGCGGCCGCGAGCGTCGGCTTCCGGCAGTCGCTGAAGGACAAACTCTCGTCGCAGACACCGCGGCTGGACTTCGAGCTCGCGGTCGAGCTCCCGGATCTCCTGCGCTCGGGCGCGGAGTTCGCGTTCAGGAGCTCGTTCGCCGTGCTCAGCAAAACGGAGAACGTGACGCGTGTGCCTGAGATTACGTTTAAAGTGCTGAAGTTAGAGTTGCTAGATTTCACGCTCTTCCGCGCGCCCCGCGACTGGGCGGCGGCGAATACGATGTCTGGCGGGCCGTCGAGGTGGCGGGATGGCACGCCGCGGTCGAGTTTTCGGACGGAGCACAGTGGGTATGGGGAGAGTAAGACACTACTCAACGCGGTGCCGGAGAGTGAGACGGTGGAGCTGCCGGAGGTGCTGGCAGAGAAGGCGGAGAAGAGGATGGTGCAAGCGGGGGAGTGTGAGGCGTGGTTTACGGGGCGGGTGCCGGGATTTACGCCGCCGAGTTTCCAGAGCTTTGCGGTTACGAGGACGTATCGGTTTAAGGTCAAGATGAGGGTGGAGGTTGGGGGAAAGAATTTTGATTTTGTGGTTGAGGGGGGTGAGGTCGTGATGGGGAGTGCGTGATGGGTGGAGAGTGGGTTTGGGGAGATGTATTTTACTTGTATGGAATTTGGAGATAGGACTAAGGTATTGCCGTTTGAAGTGCTTTAAAGCAATTTCGTTGATCTTGAAGAAATTCAAATATGTCCTTTTGATAAGCCTGGAACCTTGCTGAGCTACTTCAGGCGGTGGAAGAAAGGTGTACACAGACTAGACCTTTGGCGAATCGCTCTAGGTCTTCAAGCAACACAAGCGGTGTCAGAAAGGTGCGAGGAAACCTTCGTCCTAGTACTGTAAGTCCTTTGGCGTGATGAGGCTTTCTAGTTCCCTAGACTATCTCAGAAGCACTTCCCTCCACACCTTCTCCGCCCTCCGCCAACCCCCTTCCCCATCTCCCCCGCTCACCCCTTTCTCCAACGCCGCTCTCATCAACTTCCCCAGGGCTACCCTCTCAGCTACCCCGTCCTGCCACATAACTGCCATGACAACCACAGCACTCCACTTCTCGACCAATTCCGCTGCATACCCAACACGCCAGGGGTCTTCGACATCGTCCTCTTTCTTCGAGAGCTCAGCCTCACACAACACTAGCACATCGAGAACGGCTCCAGTTTGAACGGTCTGGCTGCAATCGACATCTAAATAGCCGCAGACGTTCCCGTTGCAGTCGTGAAGATCGAAGTATCGCAAGCCGGCTGGCGGCTTTGCATTGCCATTAGAGGAAAAGTCTTTCCCAGGAGGTCTGTCTGCCTGATTTTGTGAGTCGTCTTTGGAATCTGGATTGTCTGGGCCAATCTCAACACGAAAGCTCGTGCAATACGTCCAGAACGCGAGCAGAGCAGTCGACGATACTCCAATCTCGCCGTCCAGAGGAGACGGCAGCGTCGTTCGCCCCTTCGGAAGCCAGGACAGAGGTTCGCTCGACCGTCCATACGGATCCGAGACGCCTTCCGTCGCCTTGACATACCCGGCATACAGATACGGAGCCTTGTAATACTTGCACGCTGCCCTATGGTCCTCTTCGTTCCAGACGGGCTTCCACTGGTTAGTCTTCGTGCAGAACCGGTACCAGACGATGAAAGTGTGGAAATGCAGCCACCGGTGTAGCTTCTTGTACCACATCTCGTTCAGGAGAGGTTGGAACGAGACATAGCCTTCCCATCCCGCCCACGACCAGCTCGGGAAGCCCTTGCGTCGCCGGAGCCGCCCTTCAGGCTGCCAGAGTAGCGCGAGATCGAATTGCGCAGCGGGCAGGCCTTGGAAGAATGATGAGTAGACTTTGCTGCTGAGCACGTTTTGGGTGCCGGCGAAGCCGTTTAGGGCGTCGTTTTCGTCGGTCAGGTTTCGTTTGGAGTATTCCTGGACGGCTCTCTGGAGGTTGTTGTTAGTAGAGTTCGTGTACGGCAGAGGGCGTCGCATACCGCAAATGAGCGGTATCCAGCCAGCTCGTTGAGTACGTCAATAGGGAGTCTATACATCTCCATCTGCGAGTGTTGCCGGCCTTTCGCGTCTATGTTGATATCTTCTGTGAAGAAGCCCCGGCGGCAGTGGAAGTAGGTTCGGCCGTCAAGGAGGACTACACACCGTGATGCTAGCAGACGCTCCTGGAATCTATGATTATTAGTTTATGGGTGTCGTTAGATCTTGGAGTGGGCTGTTGACATACGTCCAAGCTCTAGATGCATAGATGGTGTGCTCCAAGCTGTCTTCGAAGGGAGTTGCAAGCATGACCTCCAGCCCTGGCTTCAATGTCTCTATGACTTGCACGGGCTTGTCGTCTGACCTGCGCGAGAAGCCGGAATTGGCTTCCGCTCCGGATGCGTTGATGATAGTGAGTTGGGCGTATCCGTAAATTAGGTCCATCCGATTGATAGTTTTCTTGACATCGTCTTCGTCGTCTTGGATAATACAAAGTGCATCTACCTATGATGCGAGAATCAGTCTTCTTTTCGGATTTGTGCTTGACACGAGCTCAGTGAAAATACGAGTCCAGTAAAGGCACTCACCCATAAATATTTGAACCCTAGCGTTTTCGCCAGACTCATTGCATCTAGAATAGTTTTTGGTACCGGCCGATCTTGCTCATAGATACCGTTGTAGGACCTCATGGAGTCTATGTTGCTTTTCAAAGTTCTTAATACTGGATTGCGGCCCCAGACATAGCTCAAAGCACAAAACTCGTCCTCCCCGTGGTGTTTGACGATACATCCATTTTCAATGTTGATGACTTTGAAGTCAATATCGGGGAACCCGTACATCCTCTCCTTACCAATTTTAGTCCTGACATCATTGTAGTCCCCGAGGCCCAATTCATTCGCGGCGTATGGTCCGATACAATGCGTTCCATGATGATTCTTGCATATCCTGTACCAGTGCCGTACCAGAGAGTCGTTCGTCTGCTTCGCTCTGATGAGCTGGCCAAGCTGTGGTGTGGGGTAAGCCTCGAACAGCACCAAATGGGCTTCTAGCTTCTTCTCATCATCGTTATATGCCACCAGCGAAATCCGTTGGTATGTTGGGGCCTTGTATTGTCGGTCCTCGTCGTCTGAATTATCTAATTCGTACTCCCAATCATCATTGACATATTCCATGGAGACGGAGATTAGCTCGTTGCCATTACTGAACTGTGGTTTCATCTTCTCACCGTCGAACGCTTTCAAGATCAGCCGACACATTGGACAAGAGCTTCGATCCTGCGTTCGTGTTCTGTTGAGATGCACGGTTCCCAGCCGATCAGTCGCGTTCTTCATCCGGAAATTACTGCGTCGTATACGTAGGTTCTTACAGTCTGAACACAGTGGATTCTCGTCTTCCTGCATACCGTTAGACGGCTATCTTGTTATGAGGCCCGTGAAATGAAAATTTACTGGCCACTCTTTATCTTCGTCTTTGCGTTTCGCCTCATACTCAGCATCGGTCCACTTACGAGCATGGTAAGACTCTCCAGACGCCACAGAGCTTGCGTCATTCCACAGAACCACTGGTAGATCACCTTTCCCAAAAGCTTCATGGTCGCTTTCAATTCGTCGCTTTTCCAGATCCTCATACGTGAGTCCGCCCGGCCCATGCCAGTACTCTCTCTTGTGTTTCAGCAAGACCCTCTCATCATAGAAGATACCTCCGCACGGCTTGCAACGATAGCGCTTCGAGAAACCGTCTTCAACCCAACGGTGGCCATGCTCTTTCCTGACATGCTCATCGGTAGTGTCGCGGTCGTAATAGACTTCGGATCCCTTCTGGAAACATCTTTTACATGCGTAGACCCAAGACGACTGCAAGTCAGAGATCTCCTCAACGCTTGCGCTATTCAGGTAATTGAAGTAGCTTTCTTCGTACTCGGTGTACTCGAGGATATAATGACCCGAGGATTCCGAACCGCCCTCGATCTGTGCGTGGCCAGCGGTCTCTAAATGTTGGAAGAGGACGTTCCTGGATAAGCTGGAAAACCTGCATACTCTACAGCCATGCGTAACAGGTGGAGTAGGTGGCTCGCTGCTGCTCTCACTAGAGAAAGACGCCTTTCGGTTTATATCCGTCTTTCTGAGTAGTTCTATTGTATTGGAAACGGTATCGAGGTGTGGCGTTCGGCGCCTCGAGGGATTTGGGTCTGGATTCGACGCTTCTCTCGCTGCTCTCGCCGCTTTGATTTCCTTCATGGCTGTTTCTAGAGGCCCCCATACTGGCTCTCTGTTATACGGCGAGTACGAGTCTGTTGCTGTATCCTGTGAAGGTTGCAGCAAAGATATCTTCGAATCTACGCTTTTCGAATCCTGACTGCTATCTTTACATGCTGCGATGTGGCGAAATAGCTCGTTTCGGGTTTTCGCACGAAACCCACATGTTCGACATGTTGTTCGGTCCTGTCCAGTGGAGTCGCCGTCTTCGTGTGGTGGTTTTGGAGCTGCGCTCTCTAGCACATTCCAATTAGTTGAAAGGCACTCCGCAACATGCCCAAGCGATTCGTCTCTCGATTCCCCACGAAACCCACAATGAGGACATCTCAACATTTCTAGGTCAAGATCAGCGAGAGGCGGCGTCTTCGAAGCACCTCTCATCGATTCCACTTGAGTTTTTCCATCGTGACCCTCCGCAAGATGCCTGAATAGCTCGTTCCTCGATCTCCCACGAAACCCACAAGTCTGACACTTCGTCCGAATCTCATCCTGTCTAGCAGAAGTGATGAGAGGTGTCTTTAATGTTGCACTTTCAGATTGATTCCGAGGAGCGACCTTATCACACTCCGCAATGTGTCGAAAGAGCTCGTTTCTCGATCCCCCATGAAACCCACATGCGCGACATGTCATTCGATCCAGGCCGACCCTGCTGGTAGGAGGTGTATTCGTAGCTCTGCTCTCCGATTTATTCTGATCGCTTCCGTGCTTGCACTCCGTCATGTGCAAATTAAGCTCGTTCTTAGTCTCCCCACGAAACTCGCAAGTTTGACATGCCGTGCGTTCCTCGTCCTCTTTCGCCCAGCTAACGACAGGTGGGTACGAAAACGTAAAATCCGCTGCAATAACACACTCATGTTCATAATACTCATTCGGAGACGCAAGCCGGCAGCCACATATGCGACAGGCCCGCGCTAGCCCACCAGAGCTGCCGTCTGGTTGTATGATTTCGTCTGTACGCGTATGCCACCATGAATCCTCCCATGGAACCTGGAATAAAGACATTGCTGTATGGGAGTGGCTCTAACCCGATTTGTTCTTTCTTGTGTGGATGAATTGAGAATGACAAGATTAACGAACGATGAAGAGATGCAGGGTTCAAGGAGGAAGTTTCTTGTCTGTAGAACAGAAGAATCTGCTGACTCGTCCCGTCCGGTGAAAGTTTGATCGACGCCAGGGATATCCCTTGACCCGCCTGCGTCCAATGCCAAGGCCGCACAGACGGCACGCGTTCTGATAGCTGCTAGCACAAAGATACTTGTAAATAGCTGCTTCCTACACGCAAATTAAAGTACCTACTATGCCCTCTACATTCTCAAATGACCTTGACTTCGTGCAACCGACTCGGTACACCGTTCCCCCAGGGAAAAAGGCCAAAATACCCGCCCCTGAGCCATGGAATCTACCTACCTTTAACGCGCTCCCTATTGACGACTTTAACTAATCTACCTCTTGGCACCGATAAAAGCGATCCTCTTGCCCTGTTTCGACTGTTTTTTACGGATGAGATGGTGGAGAATATTGTGGAGTGGACAAGGAGCGGAGGGCGCCAAGAACACTATACAGCTATTCTATGTGTGAGATTCCATTCTGCCGCGAGGATGAGTGCTGGCTAGGTCATCTTAACAAGCTCAACACCAAGGACTAGGCCTCTATATAGCTAGATACAACAATTCGAACGGCATCAAACTGTGCTAAGAATTAGATGAACGAGAGCTTCCTATTGGCCAATCCTTATCGATAACCGTTGGACGCAATCCGGCGGGTCAAAGGATACCAGCCGCCAACGTTCGATGAAGATGAGGGAAGTATCTATGAGGTGTTAGTGTTCAAGTAGGCTCTACTTGAGTAATCGTTCTGCTCATTGGTGATGGTTGCAGCTCAAAGGCTGATGAACCAGAAGTGGATGTCACAAGAAGCTTTGCATTATGGTATCCGAGGTCTGATCTACCCCATAACTCAGAATCAGTAAAGGTTCGCACAATGAGCCTAGGATGTCTGGAATATACCCCAAAATCGCAGAATTCTTCATTGAATCAGTACATCTCAACCATCCATAGAGGAACTACACAGTAGTATATTTCATTAGCTATGTAAAGAGAAAAAACCCCAGTCTTCCACCCATTCCCCAAACCACCCAAATATCTATATACTCGAAAAGAACCCCTCAACCCCTCAGTATGCAGACCCCAAACACCCCAATGCTCCCCATACAATTTGCCGAACGAGCACATGCAAACAAAAATCAAATGGAGTTTTGTCTTACCAGAACCCCACCCAAGCGTACCTCGAAAACGCCATGCCCGCTCCAGAGACCCGATCCACGAAGACTCCTTACACGCGCAAATTTAAATCGAAGACCCGTAGACTAGGAGAGAGAAGACATGAAGGGAACAAAAAGAGACAAGAAGGATCATCCTAGACACAAAACACACAACCAACAATGCCGTCAATCGTCCACTCTCGCTAGCAATAGACCCATAACCTTCTTGATCATAATCCTTCTTTCTTGCTTCTTAAACACTAACCCATCCTCCATCATCCGGGCCCGCGCCTTCCTCCCACGCACCACCCACATTCCCAAGCCCAATCCCGCTCTCACCCAGCGCCATTCCCTCTCCCTCGCCTCGCTCAACCCACTCGACATCGCTGACGTCCTTCCAAATCCGCTGGAAGTACATCCGCAAACTACGCAAGCCGCGTAGATACCCCCTATCCACACCATCCGGGTCCTTCGGCGGGCAAGGAATAGAATCCGGCAGCGCATCCTCCGCCGTGACACAATTCGCAAAATCCACAATCTTAAGCTTGATAGTGGGCGGACTCGCCGGCTTCGCTGGCCCATCCTCCCCAGCAGCACGCTGAGTGGAATCCTTCTCTTTCTCCCCGGCCTCCCCATCGCCACGATCATACAACATTAGCAAACTACTCGCATAGAACCGGTACCCCGGCAGCCTCCGAATCATGTTCTCCAGCTGCCTAATTTTCTCCAAGATGACCGGGATGTGCCTCCGCGCCGCCGCGTTCCCGACCCCGTCGAAGAAGAAGCGGGTTAGCGCATCCTGGAACTCCTTCCCAGCTTTCAGGTCGCGGCCGAAGTACTTGTCTTCGAAGACGTAGGACTGCGACTTCACGTTCCACACCTGCATCCCGCAGACCCGCACGCCGAGCCCGCGCGACGTCGTCATCTGGCACTTGCGGCGCTGGGAGCGCTGCTTCTTCTCGTCGGCCTCGATGCCGTACTGCCGCGTGCCCATTTTAAGGTCGAGCACGCAGGGCTTGGACATGCCGGCTGTGAGGTCCTCGAGGAGGAGGAAGTGCTGCACGCGCTCGTCGGGCTGGAGCTGGGCTTCTTCTGGGTTTGAGGGCTCGAGGACTTTGGGCTCAGAGGTATGAGCCTTGGTTTTCGGGCCTGCGGTCACGGGTGCTGGGAGCATGGTCGCTATTGGTGGTGGTTTGATGGCCTGCGGCTGGGCTTGGCCGGGTTCTTCGCGAATACCGTTCAATTTGGCTGCGCCGGTGCGCGCCTCGTCGTCCATGGCGAAGAGTTCGTCTTCTCCGTCGCCACCGTAGCCGTCTTCTTCGTGGTACTCCAGGCCTCTTCTTTGCTTGTGGTCGATGTCGAAGGGACGGCGTAGCCCGCCGCCGGAATGCCGGCGCCGTGGTATGGCGGATGGGGATGAGGACGGGCGCATATCTGTATCGCTCCTACTGAGAGCCGCTTCGCTGTCTGAATCGAAATAGAGGCGTTCCTGGGGCGCGGGTTGTGATACATCCCCTCCATTGCCCGGGAAATGCCGCTCGGCTTCCGCTTTCAACACTTGCTTGCGAGTGCAGTCTTCATCGAAATGTGTATTGTGCAGCTGGGTAACATCTGCACTATTCCTACGAGCTGTCGGTGCAGACCCTACGATTCCTTTGGAGTCCAGTCTCATTTTCCTCGATGGGATGCTATGATGTTGGTGGCTGTGTCTGGAGCGATGATGAATTGGTGGTGGCGCGAATACCTGGCGAAGGACTTCTTCTTGCAATTTGGTGTTGATAGTAGTAACACCCCAGCTTGCATGTTGATGGATCGGAGGACGAGATGGACTCTTTTCTGAAGACCCATTCATAGTCATATCGCTCTGATTTCGTCGATGTATCTGAGAGGAGAGAGACGAGAGCCCAGTCCAAGGATCGGGAGTACTTGACCGAGGAGGAACGCGAAACAGATTATCCGGGATGATGTGGCGGTTATTCTCGAAAATAACTTGAGGGATGGAAGTGGTGTTTTGCGAATGACTAACTATCCTTGGCGCCGCCTCTTCTTTGCGATCTTCAGGACCCCTGGACATCTCTTTGGATGAAAGCACTGACTCGCTACCGGTATTGGTCTGTGATGCAGATTGCACTACCTGGTCCCCAAAAGCTTCGTCCTTTCTCTGAGTCTTTTTACGCTTCGGTGCCTTGCGATACGTTACATTCAAAACGCCGATGTATCTATAAAATTTAACAGCATAACGTTAGCATACCTGATAACTAACAATAGATGGGTGTCCGGTGCGGGCGAGCGCATCTTGCTGATGTTTCAGCGTTCAAGCCACGGAAAGGATGACAAAATTGGTCTTACCGGGGCAAGAAATCTAGCAGCTCCGGATGATTCCGCTCAACCGTTTCGTAGAACTCATTCTCTCGGTTGTTGAGCTGCTTGCATACGGCTCTGCGAGAGAACCGGTATACAGTAGTATGCCCGCCTACCTGATGGTCGTACGGCTTTAGCTCGACAGCCCCAATCGGAGCTGGTGGCTGGGTGGCAGTAGGATGTGGCTTACGCTCGGTTCGCTTGATCGATGGCGCTGTCGGTGTGGTTCCTAAATCATCAGTGGCGCTGGATTCGTAGCCGCGATACGAGTGAGACGACTCTGCGAACGATTCATAATCAGATTCGGAAACCGACGTAGCTCCCGTCGGCGACGTCAATTGCTTGTGAAGCTCGTCCTCAGACAAGGGAGCTGATGGCTGTAGGTCACCGTGCAGGTATTGGTTTTCATCTTGGGATTGCAGAGAAATTTCTACCTCTTCAGGAGTTTTTACAATCTCTTCGTTACCCCAGCCTTCGGGTACTTTACCCGCCGATACGAGGCTTGGCCTCCTCCTACGGTCCCCTTCAATTTCTGCCTTCCGAATTTTTTGCTCTGGAGAAATTTCTTCAGAAGATCTGTGGCGATGAGGAAAATACAATGCCGAGGATATTTGTTCTCGTTCCGACTCTTCTTCGTCAGATGCCGGTGACGGCTCTTCGCTATCATCCCGCACCGCAGGAAAATAGTCAGCAGCCTGGTCATGCAGTGACGTTGGCTTGTCCTTTGCAGATGAACCTCTGGATCTTTCAGACGCGGCAGTGGGCAAGCTTCTAGAGAAGGAGGTGCCTCGGTCAGCGCCAGGAGTAAGATTGTGATGACTTCTAATTTCGTCAAGTAGCCGCAACGGAAACTCTTGCTGTGGCGTGTACGCAATGGTATTCGGCTTGTCAACCCCTGTACCGGCGCCAAGAGTCAACTTTGGCTCGGAAGGACGACTGCGGGACAATGTCTCTAATGATACAGAATCATTGCTAAACTCAGTACGTGAGCTTAGGGGAGCTTTTAGTTTTTGCGAGTCTTGCGGCTTGCCATTGTCGTCTTGCGTTCCATCAGCATCGGAAATAGGACGGGGTCGGAGGAGGCCTTGGAGTGACGGTGGAGCCTCCTGGGCCGGCACTTTCATAGACGGGGCCTTTTTCCCAGGGTGAGGTGCTCGAGAGCCTTTCTCAGTTGATTGACGTTCTTTGGCGTCTCTTCTCTTTTGCTCCTCTGCAGCGTCATTCTCCTTGAACAGGCCTAGATAGTGACTTGCTTTCCGGCTCCTTGGGGCAGGAACGTGCTCAGCTTTCAGCAATGTAGCTTCGATTTTCTTATCCACGTGAGAGCCATCCCGGCTCCTGCTTCTAACCGCGGCAGACCCAACCGCACCCAATGTAGCCTTTCCTTCGCGCCAAGACCGATATCGCAGGCGTTTATCATTGTCCGTCGCCAAGCCTAGTGACACTTGAGTGCCGAAATCATGGTTGTGGGGTGTTGACGGACGCTGGATTGGCGAGTCGACGGGACTCATGAAAGGCGGCGGACTCGCTCGGCTGCCCGAGTGTTCCATGCCCATATGGCGGAGTTTCTGGGCAGCAGAATGGGCTGCCGTTCCCGTATACTCTCCCTGCGAGAGGAGAGCAGACCGGTGTTTATCGCGGCCAGGAGCGTCTTTGACGGAAGAGCGGTCGAATGGTGGCAACACGGCGGACGCGGAGGCGGAAGGGTGCTGGCGGAGCAGAGGAGGGTCAATCAGTCGCCGAATGGGAGAGGCTGCCATGTCTGCGATACCTTCAATTGCATCATTGTCGGTGGCAGCATCCGGGCGTGGAGAAAGGGCTGGTGACGAGATGGGACTGTCGTTATAGGCGTATGTGGTCGCGAAGATAGAGTCCCGCTCAGATAGCTGGGGATTTCCGTTCGTCCACAGGGTATCCAGGGCCAGCGGGGCAGTCTTGGAGCGGCCGGTCTGAGCAAGTGTCTTGGGGGTCAAGGTGGCGCTCTCGAGCGGAGGGTAGGAGGGTTGGGCATCGCGCGGAGGGAGTTTGGACCTCACCGGGGCGGCGGGTGAGGTATTTGTGGGAGCAGGAGACGCAGATGACATGGAGGCGACATTGGTCAGGTATTGCTGCTGGGGGCGTGGGTGGAGGAGTGGCAGCAATTTGCCCGTTGGTGGGTGTGCGAGGTTGCTACGATGCGGTGGGCGTTGCAAATTGGGCCCGGCGCCAGACCATGCAGGTAAATGACGTTTTTTGGCGCAGCTTCTTTGACAACACCAGGGCACCACCGGAGCACCACCGCTGCCCGCTATCGACGATTCTCTATATGAACACGCAGGCGCTGCCCGCCACGCGCAATTGACGGCTGCCCGCGACAATTGCCGCTCCAGCACCCGCCACCACGATGCCCGCGACGGCGGAAACCAGGCACTCCCGCGACCGTCCCCCCGCTCCCGGCCAATTCACCGCCCTCTCTCCAGTCCAGCAATGCCATCGACCTTGCATCGGCGCGCGGAGCGCAACATGTGGTTGGCCGTGCGCGCAGTGTGTTGAACTCCAATCAATCGAGAACGTGGATGTATAGACAAGGGCCCGTCCCGAATAGGCCGGGCGACGGGGCCCGCATCTGCCTGCCAGTCGCCCGGCTCGTCAGTTAGATGCCACTATCCTGCCTCGTGGAGCGTCGCCGTGTTTGCTGGAGGCGGGTGCCCGGAGGGAAGGATATCACAAACCACAATAGTGCGGCTGGGAGCATGGCGAGACAGTCAGCGTGTGCGACGAGAGTTTGTAATGTCTTCTTGATTAAGCTGCTGGCGGATGAGTGCCACGTGCTGAGATATCTATGGTGAACGCTAAAAAACTAAAACATGTCCTGGTAGGTGCCTATACCGTATGCCTCACGGCGCCGACACCCGAGCACTTCAGCTGTCGTCACGCCATCTGGAGATATCAGAATTGGAAGAGAACATCAAGATTATGATGCCAGGATTACCACGACCCGCTTCGCTGTGAACCCCCGACCAAAAAACAAAACATAATCTGATGGCTCGCTAATGCATCGTGACACGAAGACTTAATGCCTGGTCGTAGAAATCCGTACACTCATTTACCGCTGCATGAGGAGCTTCATAGTATTTTCAGCGTTCCAACTAGAAGAGAAGTTTAGCATTTTGCACAAGAAGTGAACTCGCGAGGCTACCCCAGACAACGTCAACGGGGCGTACACAGATTGGAAGTGTTTCCACTGCCCCCGGTTTCCAGCAGTCAGTTGGAGGCCCACAAACAGTGGCAAGAGAACGTACGGATATCTATGACAAGGCACTGTAATGCCCACATACCTGCCCAAAAGACCAAAGGCCCTCTATTCTTGCACTCGAGTATTCACGGGACTCATTTGCAGCAGCGAGTTCATAAAACTGAAGTCGACTTCGGACTGCTGCGATGGCTGTGATAGATGCAGATCGTGCTCAAGATAAGGAGAGTCCTTTCCACGCAGCCTAGACGACTTTCGAAGGGAGTCTGACGACGTGTTGAAGGTAGAAGACGATGGCTTTTCTTGAAGAGCCAATCCACGTCGACTTTTACGCCGCGACTTCGACTTCACCGGTGTCTCCTCTACGTCCATATCATTCGTGTCACTATGCGGAGTATTACCCCCAGCGGCGTCGAACAATGCCTGAGTATCGAGATACTCGGTTTCGTCGTGAGGGGGAGGGCCAAAGCGCTCTTGTATCCTTCTCTTCTTCTCCGTACTGAATGCGAGTGGAGACTGGGCCTCGAACAGTTGCTGAGTACTCAAAGGCTGCTTAATCTCCATAGCAGCTTGTATATTCCGGTTGGCTACCCCTGTCTTGAAAATAGAGAATGGAATAATACCGCTGGCGATGCAATCGATTGTCGAGTCAAGGTCCTCATCAGTTTCTGACTGCACATCGTGAGCACTATGAATAGAATCCACAATTCTTAAAAATTCCTGCTGAATCTCCGGAGACATTGCATTGCTTGGTGTTTGTGCCTGGTTCCGTTGCGATCGGGTTCTTGGAACATCTGGCGAGTGACTCGACGCAGGTTGACTTCTCTTGGTACGCGTAGGAGTCCTCGGGCCATTGAACGCTTGCTGCCCGGAGGCAGCCTCTTGAGGAAGATTCCCATCATCGATTTCCACATCTGCCCCAGTATCGCCATTTACGGCGGGGTCGGGCACAGGGCCTGTTCTTTGCTGTTTTCTCTTCTTTTTCACCGAAACACTAGACACAACCGCTGTTGAGTCTAGGGCAGAAGGTCGCGATTTCCTCTTCCGTGGACGACTCTCAGGTTCGTCCTGCACCGCTGCCATGTGGATAATTTGTTCTGTCGAGAGAGTTTCGTCGTTCATTGGCGCACCTACCGCGGCATCGACTTTCGGGCCTTTTTGAGATGTTATCTCTACCTCAGTAGCTTCTGTCATTTGTCGAGGCGGGGATTCTGTCCCCGTAGGTGGCATAGTGCTCTGGATCCGTGACTGATTCATGCGTGGCTTTACCACAATACGCTCCAAAATATCTTCCTCATCGGCTTGAGTACTGAGTCTCGAGACCTGAACCTTCTTTGTTTGACGCGGAGTGGAAGCTTCCGCGACGAGAGACCCTATCTTTTGCTTGTTCCTGGTTTTCGAGCGGATAGCAGAGGATTCCGGCGATTCGAGCGTCGCGGGTAATGTCAAAGGGGCGCCGTTTGTTGCTTGGTGAGTTGCAGAGTCCACCCTGTTCTTTTCTGTCTTCCTCTTATTTGATGCGACATTCGAAGTATCTAGTGCCGCAATTGTATGAGGGTGCGATTCATTCCTCAGTGAGTGAGGCTCCGGTTCCTGATCAATCTCAAGCTCAGGGGCAGGAGTAGCTTCATTAGTCTCAATAGCTGCCCTCTTCTTGCGCTTCTTTCCCGAATTTGCTGGGTCCTTGTCCACTTCCGGACGTGGAGTGACTGTGATATTGCCCCTTTGAGTAGGTAAAGGCCTATTTGTGCTGTTGTCCAGGGATGGTGGAGGTGAGAGTGGAGGAGCTGTTTCACCTGCTGAGACGACTCCAGGTAAGCCTGTAGTTGCTTTCATGTTTGCAAAGCCCGTGCTATTTTCTATCGCGTCCTCGTTTCTTGGTACACTCGTTGTCGTATCTTGTGGCTCAGAGGTCAAAGCGGATGGCTGCTTTCGTTGCGAGCGTCGCTCTAGCTGGTTGTCCTCAGGAACGACTTGCGAGGAATCGAAATTCATTCGTCGCGGTCTCTTTTTCTTTGGAAGAATATCTGGCTCATTTGAGTTATTGCCTTCCAGAGCGTTGACTTTCCCGGCCTCTTTTTCTTTCGACATATCTTTCTGGTACCTGAAAGAAAAAGGCGATTCACCGACGCGAGGGGTAGTTGAAGGTTTCTTTCCATCTTTCCTAGCCAGCTTCTTCCTCCTATCCTCATTAATTATCGACGGATGAGTGTGCTTCTCAGCAGCGAGCATCGGCGTCGCAGTAGTGGTGTTTGCAGAGCTAGTGTCTTCTGTGGGCATAACAATGATATTCTCGGAGCGATTGGGCTCGTGCAGCGTACGCTCTTCCGTATCTTGAGCTCCTGGCCGACTACCGTCTTCACGTAAATAAGCATTGGCCACCGCGCACTTAGGGAATGGGTGATTGATAGCCGTGATTTCAGAGGCCTCCCTATCGTGATCCGCGACCGACTGCTGCAAGGATGGACTCAGGCTTGACAAGTCACTAGTCTGGTTCCTTGAAGAACTCAAAAGGGGAACTAGGCGAGGAACTGAGACGACAATCGTGTCGAACTCTTGAACGGGGCGGGGCCGAGGAGTTGCAGCACTGGAGCCTCTACCAGTTGACGTCTTTGCCCAAGGATTCTTCCAGTCTTTCTCCAAAGGGCCTCTCAAAGATGCTGATTGGATCACTGGCATCTTTCCTTGATTATATGCTTTGGCAATAGCCTCTATCCTTCGCCGCTTGGCTGCACGTTCCTCTTCCACCCCCACGTTATTTGATGCACGACGGGAGGCATTTGGACGGGTTGCTGATACGGGTTCGTAGGTAATGTCGGGTCTTGGGTTGCTAGGGAGCGGTCCAGTGACTCGGGGTGCCCTTGAAGATGTAGAAGAGAGCCGAGGCATCTTTCCCTGCAAATATGCACTGGCGATTGACTCGATCCGTTGTTTGCGCTCAAGATGGTGCGTAGATGTTGCGTGGTTATCCCCTATCGAGGTGGCTGAACTCCCACGGTGTCCAGATATGGGCTCGTAGACTACATTCGACAAGAGATAGTGAGGGAAACGATTTGCCAGATTGGGCATTGCAACGCCCTGCTAGAATGTAGTTAGCTCAGCCCTATATCTCCTGTAACTAGGTATCCGAACACGCAGTGAAGGTATACCTCTCGCTCCTACTGTGAGGGCTTGGCTAGCTATGTTCCTGAATGGTGGAGCAGGCGGTCATGATCGACGCTCATGACCGGGTTGGCGAGAGAGCTGGGTGAAGGAGCAGTCATGGAACGAGTGAGAAATAAATATTATCAGGAGGACTGGCGGGCTCCGTATGAGCTTCGGTATGCCGCAGTGGAACGCAGAAGTGTCGAGGAGGGGTAATGCTCGTGAATATGTGGTCGAATTTTGAAGTTACTCGTTTGTTCTTGCTTTTTTACTCGTCGCCCGGTCAACCTTACTGAGGTCCATCCGTACTTTTCCCCACCACACCATTAAGTCATGATTATCGCGACGGCACCACTCCCTCGCCTTTGACGCGTCTATTTCTATGACTGTACACATACTTTCGGCATTTTAGAGGGGAGCGGAGCCCAATTGCTGTTTTTCACCCCAATTCATTCACGCGGCTCGAAAGTAAACAAACCTGCCGCCCTTCCACGACACCGCGCCCAGTCCCTCAAGATGCAGCCCTGGTTAGAAGACCTCTCAGAGGACTGGATCGCCGAACCGCAACCTTCTTCTCCACCTGCTAATGCGGCAGCTGATCTCAGGTCTTCCGCGACACACAATGCCGACGAGCTGTCATCTCAGCCGCGAAGCCGGCTCCCACGATTCAGGAATTCTTCCGGCTCCTACTCTGCAGTGAAGACGCGCCCAATTCAGCCCAAGAAGCAGAGAGGCCCCCTATCAGAACGCACTAGCAACGAGCAGAATATCCTGCCAACTTCGTCTCCCATCCCGCACAAAGACAACGACATGACGCGGCCCCGGCCTGCCTCCCGTTCTGTTTCCGAATCGTCTGCAGGGTCCGTGGTATATAACGGCACGGTTGCGCAAAAGCCCATCGAAGCGTCGTCTGGGAAAGCTAGAATACATGACACGCCGGAGTGGAGGAAGAGGCTGATCAAAGGCGACATGGGCTATGGGGATCAGAAGGACTTGTTCAGCCCAATGGGCCTGGAGAATATCTTTCAGCAGCCAGCAGGACCGCCTCAGCAAGTCGCCAAGAAGGCGAAGAGTGGATTACGATTCCTCAATCCTGCGGACGCGTTACCGTCTAGCCCACCACCCTGGCCATCCATACTAGACCGCAATCCTGTTCATACCCAGCCCACGCGGAACTCATCGCATGCATCCAACGCCACAGAGAATGGGCAAACGGAAACCAACGTCGATCAAGCCTTTCTGGAGGCATCTCGTACCGCGAGTGGGCAGCTAGAATTGGAAAACGAGAGCTTCAGTCCTGTCTTCATCTCGAAACACAACACAGTAGACGGACGGGTTGACTACGCGGCAGTGGACCTTCACAAATCTGATATTGTCGAGCGGCTACGGAAGCTTGCAGTGCATCAAGAGGAAAATAGCGAGCTGTCAATGAACAACACGGGCTTAACAGAGAATGCGGAGGGCTCCTCATATGCTAGACTACAAGAAGACACGCTGCCAGAAGACCTGCCCGCCGGAACTCCTGATGTAGCCGATCTGGGAGAATTCGTAAGCACAAGACGAGGCGGATACTCTGCAGATGGGTCGTTTCAGAGACGTCCACTTACTCCGACTCCCGGGTCGCAACTGCTTTCAGACACCGACATGGAAGGCTCTGTTAGAGTGCGACCCAGCCAGAACCCCGAAATCACCCTCAATGATGACGAAGGAAACGAGACAGACATAAGGCCTCGCGCTCCAAACCCGCCCCACGTTGTCCCCATAACACCTCGTCGACAAAACGCCAAAATGCCTAGCCCAGATAGGACCCGTTCGTCAGGAAGCCCGCTTAAGCTGTTCGATACACACGACACTTTTACGAGCAATAGACTTCAGAGGAGACTCAGCCAGCTAGAAGAGAATCCCATCCAGCACCATACGGGCGTCACGCAAACGCTTGAGACCGGCTCTCCCAGAAGGATACAGAAAGAGTCTCGTCTTACTTCAGTCGAGGAAGTGAGTATCCAGAAAATCACCACTGTTCAATCGAGGAGGGAAACCTTCGGACAAGGTCAACTAGATACGTATCAGTTTCCGGACGAGATCTCATACCTCTCTTCTGGCGACGGTTCTTTCGATCACGGTACAGACCCGGAAGACTCTCCTGATGCAAGCATAGCTCCTCCGGGCTCGCAACCTCAATTCCAATTTCGGACAGACTCATTACCTCAACTACCTAGCAACTCCAGTTTTAGAAGGAAGCCGTCAAGAAATTCGTCGACAGATCATGTGCCTGGACTGAAGAGGTATATTTCAGATACTCAGAAGCGTCATATGCATGAATCAGCCGGGTACGCCGGCAACTCCGTCAAGAGGGAAGAGCAGATTGCATTTGAGCATGCTGAGGGAAAGCGTCCTCCGACTTCCCCTCGCAAGGACCCTACGCCCAAACGACGACGAACGCTGCACGCGATAGACGGAGAAGAGAGCGTGGCAACTGAGATGGAATCGATCAAAGAGAAGCACGTTGCTATGCAATCTGTCATTGGAAGGAAGCGAAAAGATGCCCGTCAAGGCGGCACTCAAAACGTTGCAGACCCTGAGATTCTTGCTCGCCGCCATATTCTCAGGCCGCGTAACCCAACTCCGAGCCAAAGACGACGAGAGGAGATTGAAGCAGAAATCTACGAAGCGACCGAAGCGTTCTTAATGAGCTCTCCAAAACTCCAAGCCATCCAAGAGCATCTGAATTCACCAGGTGTCAGTAATCTTTCTCCAGAGGCAGCTCAAGCTACTGCTGTCGCTGGGGAGGTTGCGGCATTTAGCATGAAAGTCGCCCAGGGTATGAAGGATGGTGCGCGCAAACGCTCTGTGACTACGCAAGACTTTCTTGACGAGGCGATGAAGATCATGGAATTCATTCGTACTAAAGGAAGGCCGATGAGCGGCCTCGGGAGTCTTGAAGAGACGGAGACGGAATCGCCGAGCAACGTTGAAGACGAGACTCCATCAACACCCCTCACATTTTCTAGACCACCGAGTAGGGAAGGTGTAGTAGGAGGGTGGAGGATACCACAACGCCAAAGAGAAATGGATGCTCGCGTTGCCAGCCATCTGCAGAGATTTCAGGAAAAGGACTCGGACGAATTTATGGCGTCCTCAATCCAATCCTTAAAGCTTGGTCGATCAAGAGAATTCGAGCACGGCCCAAATGAGAACGTTGCTGTTCAACAGAACAACATACGGATTACAAAGAACGTCAATCACGGCCAGTCTGGATATCATTCCCATGAGTCGTATGGGTCAATGGAATCGGGGCCTAGAACTCATGGATCCCACCCATCCAACGGATCGTCTTTTGGCAGGACGGTCGTCACCAACACCTCTCGTCGTTCCGATCATGTAGCCACGCTGGCTCCTGAAGCAGTCGCACATTTGATTCCCGAGCAAGTCGCTGGTATGAGCTTTGATCGTGAAAAAGGGATATGGGTGAAGAGTAAGAGCCCCGTGAAGGAGAAGAAATATTTTGCGGATATCAGTTCTACCAACGAGAGTGAGGACGACCCTTTCGGAAATATACCTGATCTTACGGTGGATGAGGTGCAGGAAGCTCCTACGAAGGAGCCAAGCAGCAAACAAATGCCAGACGGAGATACACTCGACGAGCGACCAAAACCAAGCCCACAAGACGACGTTAGGCCGGAAACCCGGGAGGGCAAAGCAATTCCGCCTGTAGACAGTAGCTCTGTCCCATCCAAGTTTTTCAATCTCGCATGGAGTGGACCCCAAGTCGAAACTCGAGCAACATCCTGGAGCGAGCAGGATGCTGATCTCAGAGCAACTGAGAAGATCTATGTACAGCCAAGGCTACAACAAACGAGACAAATCCAGGGAGAAGACGTCGAGCATGAGATACAAATCAATGAAGGACGCACTACCGCGCATACTAGTACAAATAATCCCCGCCTTCGAGATGTTACAATCACCTTCTCGTCCCCTTATGCACCACGCCTTCACTCGGACGCTTTCAAGCCGGGGGAGGCTGAGCATACGATTGAGTTCAAATCAAGGACTCTGAACGAGCCTCGCAGTTCGACCAAGCCGAAGAGTACTTTCCACTCAGGCACCGCACCGTTCTTCGCAGGTGCTGTTCCACCAATCGATGAAAATGGAGAACTTTCTATAGTCGACGATTCGATTCGCCGTATGAAGATGTCTGTCAGTGTATCCGCTCCACGGTTAGTTCGACATGGCCAGCATGCTCTTATTCCGGCACCGCCAACTCCAGGTGGCATAGCAGATGTCACTTTCATGCTTAGCGACTTGCCGGACTTCACAGTCAACCAGGTTGATGAGCGTGAACTCCCAGATCGAGTGATTGTTAGGCGAGATGGCTCTATCAGACAGCTGGAAGACCGCTATGCGCTGGGAACTGCCGAATTGGTCAAAGCTTTGCAGGATGTTGAGCCTGATGAGCCTTACTGGGAGGATCTCCACGAAGTGGACTTGCATGACAAAGGACTGACCAATCTGCATAGATTGGACGAGTTCTGCTGTCGAGTTGAGGATCTCGATGTTTCGAAGAATGGTATCAGTCAGCTCAATGGAGCGCCTTCAACCATTCGACGCCTAAAGATACAAGATAACGCTTTGACAAGTCTCACGTCATGGAGCTACCTGATGAACTTGCAATATCTGGACATTTCTCAAAATGACCTAGACAGCTTGAAAGGTGTTAGCAAACTCATACATCTGAGAACTTTGAAGGCCGATGATAACCAGATCGAGTCTCTCGATGGCGTGCTAGAGATGGACGGATTGATCGAATTGAGTGTGCGACGGAATAGAGTCGAGACCGTGGACTTCGACTTCTCCAATTTGTAAGTTTAGTGACTTCCTACCCACTTGAATAATACTAACAATCATAGAAAATCCCTGGTGGATCTGGATTTGTCTGGAAACGGTCTGCTAGAGATACAGAATGTGCACTGCTTGCTACAGCTTAGGCATTTGAATCTCGGTGAGTATACCTATCTAGTTACAAGTGAACCCCACTCATATTTTTCAGATGATAACTCCCTTCGCGCGTTCCCGACTTCGGACCTCAGCTCAACACCCTGCCGGTCCCTCCGATCATTACGATTATGCAGCAACACACTTGAAGTGCTTGAGGTCAGCGTAGCGTTCCCAGGCCTCGAATCTCTGTACGTAGACAAGAACGGTCTTACTGAGATTAAGGGCTTGGAGAGTCTAAAGTACTTGCGGACGTTGTCGGCTAGAGAACAATACGTCGATGGATTGTCTGCGTCAATATCGAACACGCAACCGCTAGTACGCCATTCCGATATTCGCAACCTCTACATGTCAGCAAACGCCATGCCGACCTTCGCGATGAATCAGGACTTCCTCAATCTTCAGCGGCTGGAACTGGCGTCTTCTGGCCTGCAGTCGCTGCCATCGAATTTCGGACAGATGGCGCCCAACGTTCGCTCCTTGAATCTCAACTTCAATGCGTTGAATGATTTACGTCCACTTCTGAATATCAAAAGGCTTCAGGAGCTCTTAGTTGCTGGAAATCGGCTTTCCCAATTACGAAAGACGTTGGCGGTCTTGTCTAAGTTGACTACCTTGACAAAGATCGATCTTCGCGACAACCCTCTCACGATCGGATTCTACCCTCCAGCTGTAGAGAATCGCTTAGTTGCTCTCAAAGATGGAATCTCCCAAGGCGAAGAATTGGAGCCGTTCACTCTTCCCGCGAGCAACCGCGTTAGTGGCGACAGATTTCTGAAAAGGCTAGACGAGGGAACACGACTGAGGCGGCGCGTACATGAGATGATGATGGCGACTAATTGTGCGAGTTTGCAGGACCTTGATGGTCTACCTTTCGATTCTCGAGATGTATTAAAGAAAGACGAGGTTTGGGAGCGACTGCGGGATTTGGGGATTATAAAAAAGGCGAAGCGGTGTCCTGATGATTTCGAAACGACGCAGGAAACGCGGTGATTATTTGGCTCGGGTCTTGTGCCACTTTGTCTCGGGTAGAGGATGCGTACTGTTGGTGTTCTCGGGGAGTAATGGTTTGTTTTTGGGCTCCCAGAGTGGGGTATAATGTATCATGAGGCACGTCGTCGTTACTAGGAGTTGCGGATATATTTCATAAGCCCTCCTGGCGGTTGTATTATCATGAATAGACATTTGGTAGAGCTTCCATGCTAGTTTCTGTGGGTGCAGTGGTGTTGTGACGCAGTGAATAATCTACTAGCATTCGTAGTCACCCGATGTCATGCTGTCTCGAACGCGTGGGGTGGGGTCGGAGTGGACCGCCGCAACTCAAATGCCTCTCCCGTGATCTCGACCACTCTTTATCAACCCACATGCCCTGCAGTCCTTCCACCATGTCCTACAACCACAAATCCGTCTCACTATGGCCACAACCACCGAGGAGGAGCGGGCAGAGCAGCTCGCTCAGTCCGCCACCGCCGCCGTAAAGGTAGGAAAATTGCCAGATGCGGCCCGAGCGCTTCGCGAAGCAACGTCTATCGCACCACAAAACCACAAAGTCAAAGCCGCGTGGGTCTACTTAAAAGAAGAGGAGAGCAAGAGCCCTTTACTGGAAATTTGCACTCAATGGGTGCATAGCCGTGACGAGCATGATGGAGAGAAGGCGCTGAAGGAGATTAAAGGCGTGCGGCTGACCAACGAAGTCGCGGAGCATGCCATGAGCATCTTGAACGCGTATAAGGGCGAATGCGACACCCTTGACCACGTTACTGGAGAGTTGCTGAAGTATCAAACAGCCCAGAATGTACTGGCGACGTTCATCAAAGATCATCCGACTGAGGCCTACTACCAATTCTTCGAGCGAGGCGACGATAGCATGGACGGGCTACTCCAGGTCCTTCTTAACCGCGCTGCTTGGCCGACCGATGCAACCTGGATTCAAGGCCATCGGGACTCTTTTATGCTCTCGTTAGCGATGATGATGGAGGAAGCTTTGGACCATCCGGAACGCGCAATGAAAGCCATCGCCCGATTGCTTGCTGCGCATGCCTCCCATCTGAAAGGCATCATCGACTCGGACAGTTTCGATGTCATTCTTGCAGCGCTGGATATCAGACTACCTAATAGCCTGCGTAGTCAGGCAACTCTGGCTACTATTAAGCTTCTCGAGCTTGCACCGGATACAGCTCAAACCCTCATTTCAAAGTTTGTCACGTCTCGCGTCTCAAGACCGACTACGGATGGTCTCATTGTCGCTTTCTCTGCTGCCGCAGCAATCTTTCCGATCACGACATCTGTTGCTGCAGCTCTGTTTCTCACGGAAGGCTTTATCAGCAGCTTAGTCCCTCTCGTGCAGAGCAAGAAGAGCATGAGATTAGAGCAGGCTGCTCTAGAATTGATTAGCGCAGCGTGTGTCGACAAAACATGTCGAGAAGCTATCAATCGTCACTGTAGAGAGTGGCTAGAGGACGTTGTCGAAGCTGGTATCGATCGACGGCGATCAAATCTAGCCGCTTTGATCCTCATGAAATTAGGCGAGGAGAAGGCATCTAGCACAGCTCCCCAAATCATTGTCCCAGGAAAGGTCGACCAAGACGATTTGATATCGAGATTCAAGGGCATGGTTCTCAGCGCCGATAACACCAGCAAACAAGACTCAGTTGAAGGTCTCGCGTACGCATCACTACAACCTAAAGTCCGAGAGAACCTCGCGAACGATCACGCATTCCTCCTCCGCCTCATAGAAACAATGGCCGATCCGGAAGCAGCGAAGCCAGTCTTATTCGGCGGCCTGACCATCTTCGTCAACCTTACCACCTACCTGCCTTTTCAATCCGAAGAAGAGAAACGCATAGCACAGTTGAAAGTCTACGCCAACGCCTCCAAACCCTCCGATCCCGACCCTTACGAAGGCGAATCCCACGTCACCACCCGTTGCAACAAAGTCCTCGCCTCAGGCATCGTCCCCCTCCTCGTCGCCTCCAGCAAGCGCGCCTCACCTAGCGTCCTCTCCCAAATGCTGCATATTCTCCTCTCCCTCTCCCAAGAGCAAAAGCACCGCGGCCTGATGGCCCAACAAGGTGCTGTCAAGCTAATCATCCACATTTGGGACCACATCCACGCCGAAGAGCATCCCCAGGCGTCGTCTTACTCCCCTGCCTCCAACCGCGCCGCCGCCCACGCCCTCGCCCGCATCCTTATCTCTGTAAACCCAACTCACGTCTTCTCCGCCGCCTCGGCACTCCCTGCCACCAACGCCATCCGCCCCCTCATTCTCCTCCTGAAACCGGACCAGGACGCGAAGTCGGCGAATCTCCTTCAGACGTTTGAGGCGCTGCTCGCGCTCACAAATCTCGCGAGCACGGACGATACAAGCCGTGACACAATTATCCGCCTTGCGTGGGACACGATTATGGACGACTTGGTGCTCTCTGGGAACACTCTCGTGCAGCGTGCGAGTGTGGAGCTGATCTGCAACCTCGTCCTCTCACCCCTGGGCATCGAGAAATTCGCTGACGGCAGCAAGCGCGCGGGCAATCGGCTGCATATTCTGCTCGCGATGGCAGATGTCGAGGACTTGAAGACGCGATCGGCCGCTGGAGGAGCTTTAGCCATGCTACTCGGTTTCGACCCAGTCGTCGCGGAGGTGTTGAGCAAGGAGCGAGGTGTGCAGATTTTGCTGGGGCTGTGTGAGGATGAAAATGAGGATGTGCGACATAGGGGTGTCGTGTGTGTGCGGAGTTTGGTAGGAGCGGGCGGGGAGGTGGGGAAGAAGGCTGTGGAGGTGGTGGGGGAGAAGAATGGGGTTGCTATTCTTAAGGGGGTGTTGACGAAGAGTCGACGGCAGGAGGTTATCACGACAACGGTGGAGGCGCTGAAGATTCTCGTAGAAAAGGAGAAGAAGGGGAAGATTGTTGAGGTGGAGGATGAGGTAGATTGAGAATCTTATGGGGTGAAGAAGTAGTCTACTGTCAGAGAAAGGTATAGGCTCAGTCCATGCACGAGTATATTGATTATCAAGCTATGAAGGAATACAGTCATTGAGCTATAGTAGGTGTCTGGAAAGAGAAACCTGTATTTGAGTATTGAACACAGAGGAGAATGGAATCTTAGCAGTTCGAGTGAATCTTGGCAGTATGAATGGAATCTTGGCACTCTATGTTCATCACTTTTCAACCCTTCATCACGCCAACACTTGCATACCTGGGTAATTTTAGCAACTTGGCAAGTAAAATAGAATCTTGGCAGCCCGATTTTGAAGAACGCCAAGATTCCGTTGGTGTATGTCTTTATCACTTTCCAACACTCGATTTCACCCCTCACTTCTACCTCTGCTACACATCTCGGTCTATATCGAGCTATAACTCAAGGCTTGCAATTATGAAGGTGTGTCTAAAGTGGAGTGGTCTGGAGCACGCTGGACTTCAGTCGCTCTCCTCCTGGGCGCCTTTCAGTCGCCCAGAGTCGCTGCTTTCATGCTTTAATTTGTGGGATACGAGAGGTAAGCAACATAAGGAAAAAGAGATACAAGTAAGGCGATTGCTTTCAATCTACACACTAGAGTTGAAGCCTACCTGTGATCCCATTAGAACTAGGGATAGTCCATTTTCAATCAACATCACGTGATCCAGCCTGATCCATTGCCTTCTTTGCCTTCTTGCCTGTCTGCCTTGGGACAGAGGGGCGTCAGAAGGGCTAGTTCGCCCGGGCGCATGCAGGCTAAAGCTGCCGTCTCACTCGCGGGCTTGATTCGTTGAGGAAGTCGTGCGGATGGCCAACTCACGCCCGACATGCAGCAGTCCTCCAGCGCCACGACGCCCTTTCTCAAAGGGGCGGACCAATCAGTGTCGGCTGAGAGTATCTCAGCCCCATTGCTGCCCCTCGTCACCCTCTTTCTTAAGCTGTGAGCCCGGAAGGGTGCGCTGGCCTCCGTTATACTTAACTCTCGCTCTCGCCCTGTCCCCTTGTCAAACTCGCCGTCCCGACACTCCACACAGCCTCGTTCAACTTATCCCTCTAGCCATACTTGCTACTTCGAAGACTAGTCTGGATGCCTCACACTCGGATTTCGGTATGTTGTGCTGCTGCCCCTGAGGCCTTCTTTCATCTTTGGAATTGGAGGAAGTCCTGCCTTCCTTGGAAAATTCGGGAAAGTTTCGGTTTCTATCTTTTCCCATACCTATCTACAGGTTCGGATTAACCGCCCCGGCCTGACATCTGATAATCGCAAAGGACTAGGAGGACCAGGAGGACCAGGAGGACCAGGAGGACCAGGATGCCCAGGATGCCCAGGATGCCCAGGAGGACCTGAAACCAAGACATTCGTTATAAGGGATCCGTGAGGACCCGAACTTTCCTTGCTTGTGTGGATGAACTAGAAATCACAACCTCCATCTGGGTTTAGATATGGAGGTTGTATCCAAAGTGGCGTTCATTGCCGGTCTCGAGAGGCTAGCAATCGCGAGCGCTCTCGAGCCTGTCAAATCTTTCACTCAACCATCACCGCCAACTTCTTAACTTCTTGATCCCGTCGCATGGACGGTGGGCATAGACCCAGCCGCGACAGAGGGGTGGCAGGATCAAGAATGCAACACCAGAACTTGCCCTTATCTATGTATGTTCTTGGCTCTCTTATTCGGGATTATGTCCTTTGCATCAGGGTTGTTGCGACGATCTAGTGTTGGAACTATATCTTGACAACTCATGTCCTTTCTTTTTCTTTTACTTTTACAGTCTCTCTTTTTGCTTTCACAGTCTTTCTTTTTGCTTTTACAGTCTTTCTTTTTGCTTTTACAGTCTTCCTTTTACTCTTGCAGTCTAATTTCTAAACTTACAGCTGTTTTTCTATTCATAAAGTCTTTCTTTAATTTGTACAATCTTCCTTTTGCCCCACAGTGTTTCTTCTACTCATACAGGTATTCTTTTCACTCACCCAGTCATTTTTTTTACTTATATAGGTGCCTGGTCTTCTCATTGCTGTCATCTCGATGCCATTATTCTGGACATTTTCACCATGGAGGGGTGCATGTCACTCGTGATGGAGGTCCAAATTTCAAGTTCGACTGCCTGGTTGAAGTGATACTAACGGATGGCCGAATTATAGACTGGCTTAGGCCGCATGTCGCCACAGGAAGAATTCCGCGGCCTTTGTGAGAACCCGTACCCCCAAATCGTCCCGACCGAGCTCCAGGTCAGAGGGTCAACCGGATTGTTCTTTGAGCCTGGACATGGTATCAATGTTTCAGGGATACGAAGGTGAAGAAATCCGTCAGAGGTCTTCTTTCATGGGCTACGGCTTACGTTCATAGTGGTCCGGTATCCGAAGTGGAAGCGAAAAGTAGTGTAGACATTCCTTGCGGGGATTTCAACGGGCAAACCCTCCGCCAGTCAACCTTTCAGGACTTCGCAGCTGTAGCCTCAACGTCCCAGGGGTTGCAAAGCTCAGGCGATGATACAGCAATGTTGGACTTGACTGGGTCTTTCTCGCCTGAAGTCTCTCGGCCGTATTCTTTTCGCCCAAAACGCTCCCAATCATGGGCAATGAATCGCGGTTCATTCAACGGTGAGAAGATGGAACTCGAGAATTGGCAAATGGATCTTGAGAAATTGCTTTACTGATGGAGGAGCCAACGGCTAGTTCATTGCCGGATCTTTCTAGGCGTTCGTTCCCCTGTAAAATGTGTAAGCCTCCATGAGCTGATCTATTAGTAGCATCGCTGGCTTCGACCTCGGCTAGAACTTTGACGTCGTCCCCAGATATCAATATCCCATGGACTTCGGAGGCTATGCTCCGAAGGCTGTAAGGGAGTACGTGCACCGAAATTCCAAGTGCGTTTCATTGGTTAACTTGAGAGAAGGTTCGACAATGCAGGATCTGGATGCAATAACAGCGGCGAGACAAATCCCAGTCTGATCGGTATCCCCCACGGAGCTCTCTCATGGAACGATGCGCTCTTATGGGGCGAGGGAAGTCCTAGCGACCCAATGGGTCAGATGGCGGGCGATATACATTATGATCAGTCGCAGGTCGACGTTGTGCGCGACTCCAGGGGTGTAAGTAGCAATCTACCATATTACCTGAGCATAAAAGACACGGTAACTGCATGTTATCTGGTCTATTGCCCGGCATTCTCTGACTCTTTCGACAGGTAATGAAACGTTTGAACGACTATGAGCTGTCTGCTGCCAAAATGGGTTTGCGTCCGATTCCGCGAGGCATGGTCAAGAGACTACGACCGCGTAATGAACCACTCAAGAATCCATGCGGCATACAACGAGGCATCCTGCGGAGACATGCATCCACTGCAAACAAAAGCGATGGTGATGCAGACGTGGGCGACGCATACCAATCATCGGCCGGCGAATCTCGGGAAAATGTCCAGCGCTTCACCTGTCCACATTCTGACTGCTCTGAGCGGTCTTTTGGTCCACGTGCAGATCGAGACAGACATGTACGGAAACATAGTGCGACCGAGAGAACGTTCGCCTGCTTGGAACCAGGATGTGGCAAGCGGTTCTATCGCAGCGACAAATTGTTGGACCACTCCAGGCATGGCCATCGATCATGCACTTGTGGGAAGAGGTGCTAGAGAAGAAGTATTTCTAATGAGGCATCTCAAATGGCGTGATAGGCATCTGCAATTTCTCGATTTTGGAAGGTTCTTTTGGAGTTCCCGAACCTTGGGGCTGAATGGGAGTTTTTCCCGGCGCGGTATATTCATGGCATAACCATAGCAAATCTCTTGTTGTTAGTCAAGATGTATCAGCAAGCTTGAATCAGCTGGGCCTAGAACATGGCAAAAAACTGTCTCCGATTTACCACTGGACGTGTTTCACCATTAGTCGATATGGTGAACATGGCTGGCATTCATGATTTGATGTCCTATACACCCTTACTTCACCTCTTCTGTATCGCACTACAAAACTTAGTTCAAGCATGAAACCACGTCGCTGAGGAAAAGCCAACTGAGGGAAATATGTCCCTCGTTAAAGGCGGATAAGCATCCAGATCGGGTGCGTTGAATTCGCTGTCCTGGGTTCCGATGCCTTGGTTGAGCATCTCATGCCCGTAGCCGTTTGCTTTGGGTTAGATCTGGCGGCTGGCGATTCGATTGTGCAACAGGTAAACAAGGGCCCCAGCAGCTTGGATAAGCTTGATGTTTTCTTGTTTTGCGAAATAGTAGCTGCAGTACAGTTGACCAGTCTACCATTAGTTAAAGACGAAAAAGGAAGTAGTCAAGCTAGATCGTAAGCTATTCCGAACCGACGATATGGCCTAACTTATAAAATGCACCTCCGTCCTTTACAGAACTCGATCACGAGTTTTGAATATGCTTTCACAAGGCGGATAGCTCCGTCGCTATAGACAACGAATTCGAAATTTTCTGACTGCGGAGCGGCTGAGTGGGGGAAGAGTGTTGCATCCTCACTGCCGGACTGCTTCCCAGGCTGGCGCTTGATGCTTGCACTAAGACTGGGGCAAAGGTTTGTGGAACGGAGCGTGCCGTGAGACTCTTTTCTCTATGGGAAAACTTCCCTCTGTCAACGGTAGCGTCGCATGCACATGAACATGAGCTTCAGCTGCCCTTGACAATGGGAATGAGGTTTAGCGATGCCGCTTTCTCGGCTAGTAACGCACGATGCAGCGGTGAAAACTGCTGATCATCATTCGATATGAGCTCGCTATCGAAGGAAACACGACATAGGCTCCAGTGGCATTGACCGAGCGAAAAGGCCGCTGTTCTGAGTTGCACTGTGCTCGAGCGGCTGATCGTTGATTTACTCTGTGGCACCCGGATGCGACATCGAAGCCTCGTCAGCCCAGCGGTCGCCAGGTAGGATTTTCTGGATGTTTGGCGGCCAAGTATTCCAAGAGGTCCAAGAAGCCCAAGACAAACGTGCGGATCGTGGCAACAGGCCATAACATGCGCATTTGTATAGCCACTATCGGTGATACCGAACGAAAGCTGAAGGGCAAACGAGACAGCTCATGGAAGGAGACAAGGAATGTAGGTTTGGAAAGCAACATGTAGAATACGAAGTCAGGCGCCGTGATATGCTGTGTAAGAAAAGCTGTGCGGTGGCGGTATGGGGGGTTACGGGGAGAAGAGAGAAGAGTGGAGAGGGTTGGGGACCCTGGCACGGACATCACTCAAAATCCACCACCACGATCATCCTCGCCCGCACACCGTAAGCGCAATGCGGTAGGTGGTCCACAGACACCCTCGAGATGCAGACTATTCACGCGGCCCGCGATCGTTTGGAGGCCCCGGTGCCGGCCAGTGTCTGGGCGCGCATCCTGCTGTCGTCAGCCTCAAACCGTTTTCTAGCAGCTGTATGTTCCGCTTGGCCATTCACCGCTGGGACCGTAGTAAGGGCACTGGCCCTCTGTCCCCGCAGCGGCAGAGCTCTGTAGCTTGTGCTCACTACTTAAAAGCCCTCAGCTCCACGGGCTCTTATCTGCTTCTTCCTGCTCCCCACATAAACCTGATCCTCTCCCACCGTCACACCAAACTCTTACCCTGGCTCTCAAACCTCGCTCATGCAGTCATATATTTAACCCTTCTCTCTCTCCAGCTTCAGTATTAACCTCCTGAGGACCATCGTCCTACACAACTGTACCCAAGATGGCCTCCTCTGGCGTTGACTATGTTAATACGTCTGCTCCCTTCGACGACAAGAAGCCTGACGACAAGAAGGAAGGTTACGACGAAGAAGAGCGTCCAGATTCTATTTCCATTAAGACGGGCGATGCCACCCAGCGCAAGCTGAAGCCACGACACATCCAGTTGATCGGTATTGGTGGAACGATTGGAACTGCTCTCTACGTTCAGATCGGTCACGGCTTGATCAATGGCGGCCCTGGAAGTCTATTCATCGCATTCACGTTATGGTATGTTCTATATCCCCTGAAAATTATAGGTTTCGAAAACTACATGAGCGGTTGGAACTCAGAAAAACCTACTGCCAGCTCAATCAACGGCGCTATCCTATGAGCTTAGTTTTGCGTACGAGTATACTCACCATTTGACGTGAATAGGTGTTCCTTCATTCTGGCTGTCACTCTGTGTACGACCCCTATTCCCTAGCAACTTATGTGATTCGATGCATCCCTAAAGCGCAGATAATGCCTCGCAATTTAAACTTAGAGAGTTCGGAAGATTCGAGCGACTTGATCATCCTAAGCAACCTTAAATATTCTCATCGCAGACCTCTGACAATGCATCTAGGCATGGCGGAAATGGTCACTTACATCCCAATCTCCTCGCCCTTCATCCGATTCGCCGGCCGCTACGTTGATGATGCCTTTGGAGTAGCCGCAGGCTGGAACTTCTTCGTCTTCGAGGCAATGTTAGTACCTTTCGAGATCGTGGCTTGCAACGTTATTATTCATTATTGGAGTGATGCTGTTCCGGCCGGAGGCATCATTTCCATTGTCATTGTGCTATATGGGTAAGTTTCCCTAGAAGCCTCTGGTCCATGCCATGGTTTCAAGAGCCTCCAAGAAACTAACCCTCAACAAGCCTCCTCAACCTCCTAGCCGTCAAGTGGTACGGCGAGAGTGAGTTCTGGGCCGCCCTAGGCAAAGCCCTACTTATAATCGGCCTCATCATCTACACCTTCATCACTATGCTCGGCGGAAACCCTAAACACGATCGCTTCGGCTTCCGCTACTGGCGCGACCCTGGCTCCTTCGCCGAGCTGTACTACACCGGCAACCTAGGCCGCTTCCTCGGCTTCCTGCAATGCCTCATTCTAGCTTCCTTCACCGTTGCAGGCCCTGACTACGTCTCCATGGCCGCTGGTGAAGCCGAAAATCCCCGTGTCGTCATGCCACGCGCCTATAACTCTGTCTTCTACCGCTTAACGGCCTTCTTCGTGCTAGGCTCCCTTTGTGTCGGCATCAACGTGCCCTACAACGACGCGGAGCTTATCGCGGCTTTCAAGGACGGCAGGCCTGGCGCTGCTGCTTCTCCCTACGTCGTCGCCATGAATCGCCTCAGCATCCAGGTCCTCCCAGACATCGTCAACGCCATGGTGCTCGCGTCCGCCTTCTCCGCAGGGAACAGCTACGTCTACTGCGCGTCCCGCTCGCTGTACGGCCTCGCGCTCGAGGGCAAAGCTCCCCGCATCCTTACCCGCTGCACTCGGCAGGGCGTGCCGATCTACTGCGTGCTCGTAGTCCTCGCGCTAGCCCTGCTCTCCTTCCTCCAGCTCTCCGAGAACTCGGCCGTCGTGCTTTCATGGTTCGTGAACCTGGTCACCGCGTCGCAGCTCATCAACTTCAGCGTCATGTGCTTTACGTTCATCCGCTTCAAGAAGGCGTGCGATGCGCAGGGGCTGGACCGCAACACACTGCCCTACAAGGGCTTTGGGCAGCCGTTCACCGCTTGGTACGGGCTGACTGGGTGCTTCGTGATGACTTTCGTGGGCGGGTACCCGGTCTTCCTGAAGGGGCAGTGGGACTTGCCTACTTTTTTGTTCTCGTATATGATGATCTTTGTGTTTCCGGTGCTGTACGTTGGTTGGAAGCTGATCAAGAAGACGAAGTTCAAGAGCCCGATGGAGGTGTATCTGTATGAGGATCTGGAAGAAATTGAGGAGTATACGAAGAATTTTGTGCCCACGCCTGATAAGTAAGTCTAACTCTTGGTGTTGGTGTTTTGGGAGTTTGTGGCTAATACGGCTGGTGTAGGAGTGTGGTGGATAGGTGGTTCAACAAGATATTCAGTTAGATACCCAGGCTGTGGCGTTCCTGTAGAGCGGGAGGCGTGATAGATGGCCGCTAGACGGCTATATTACTATGGTTGTTTGACGACTGTATTGCTAGATTCGATGGCGATATTACTTAGGTCAGCGGACACAAGGAATGTGGTATTCCTATAACGGTATAGCCGAACAAATTAACTGACTTTATTCAAACCGAAAGTCGTAATTCGTCATACAGCTACGTGTGCTATTCTTAGGTAACTAAATCCGATAGGCGAGAAGCTTGAACATGGCCACTATAACTCCGACCCTCTTGCTTCCTTCCCTAGACCTCATCATCACTCTGGCTTTCCGCATCTTCCTTCCTCTTGCTACCATCAACCTCGTTGATTCGTTTGGGCGTCTCCTCCTTGAAAGCATGGCTAGACACCAGCTTGCTTTCCGTGGCGGACGCCATGTTAACAAAGGTCTTCGCGAAGACTTCTTTTCTCGTCTGCCTGGTGTGACGGTTGCGCTTTCGGTACCACCGCTTCTTCAAGTATACCAGCTGTTCCTCCATGTAGTAGACGATCTCTGCCTGGTTGAAGGTGTAGCTTTCACCCAAGTGGGCGATAGATCCAACCAGAATCCGGAGTGTCTTATCCTTCTTCTATTTCTTAACGGTCGTGTTATGCTTAGTACCTTTTTAGGAGAGACATACGCAACTTGGTCAGGGAATGCGGTCTTGAGAGCCTACTCGCGAGTTAGTAATCATTTAAAACAGATAGAGGGAACAAGATGAATGTAAGAGTGTTTACTTATAAGGGCGTATATCCCTGACTCTAACGGGATGGATGTCGCTACAACGCATCTCTAGACTTCGCTAATGGAGTCGGGTTGATCGATTCAGCTCGCAATCTCAGAGATAAGCATCTGGAGTTTCTCATTTCTGGCGGAGATGGCGCTGGAATTGCTCCCGAAAAGACAGTTCTCAATAATGAGATTAAGGATGAAGGGTGCATGGTACTTCGCAGTCAAGCCGATATATCCCCGGTCGCCCTTCTTATAGTGCTGGTTTTGTTCCCGGTGCCATCTTGTATGTTTAGAAGCCTTCCACGCCTTCCTCGTCCGCCGTGAAGCACCCGAGCTCTTCCCCGGCCGACCGCTTGAAGACGTTCAGAAGCTCTTTCAGCCGGGGCTCCGTCCCTACAATCCTTTCTTCACAGGCAATACCCACTGGAAGATATGCCATGGCATCATTAAGCATATGACGGCGGTTGGAACTCGAGACTGGGGATTGTATAACGAGGGAGCGGTACAACTACTATTCAAGATGGAGTAGCTAATTTAGTCAATGTTCTGGATTCAGTAAGGTGGTGAAGAAATGCAGAGCCAGGTCTCTGAGAGGGACCCGCATTGGCCTGAGTTGCGGAAGGCCGAGGGGTATCTAGACCCAGAGCCAGAGCTAGAGGACGAGGAAGAAGAGTTTGAGGACGACTATGTTCCCAGGTACTCTTCGAAAGCCTCTAGAAAAGCTAGACGAGCTATTGGAAGGGTTTGCTGAGCGCGGGTCTGGATCATGTTTGGCTGTGAGTAGTACTCTCTTTATGTAATTCTTCATGCTAATGGAATTTAGTGCCTAAAGACATGGTTGGTAATGATAGAGTTCGAAGTTCTATAAGTGAGGAACTGAAGGGCTCGGAGAGCAAAGTTATGGAAAGTTGGTTGGAAATGGGCATGGAAAATAGTCGCATATACATCCAAGGGGTATCATGAGGAAAGGAAATCTTGTCAGATAGATCAAACTAGGAATGTGGGTATCTCTTCAAGCAAAACACTCTTCTTCTTCTCGTCTGCCTGCTTTCTCGCTCTTTCTGCCCTCCGCTTTGCAATACGAGACATGAGATCGTCTGGTGGTTCTGGATGCTGGGTGATGACCAAAGACCCTGTAGACTTTTGACTCTTACGCGGTTTGAAATCATCCAGGAAATCTGAGGTGGATAGGCGCGATGATGATATCGGTTTAGACGTGGCAGACGATGGTAGTGGCTTCCTTGAGGTTAATGGCTGTGGATCTGGTGGACGTTGAGGTGGCGATAATGGAAGAGATTTGCTGGTATTTGGGCCGCCAAAGCATTTTTGGGCCCGGGACATAGCCGGTTTCGCTGATTGTCGTGGTCTTGCTGGAGCGTCGAGATCATCGCTGTCATCTGATGCAGAGATACCATTGAGTTCCTTAGCCGCTCCAGCCAGGATGCTGCGATTAGATTGCCGTGCGCTCGTAGTAGTTGTCTCTCTTCTCCGCTGCGGAGGAGATGAATCTCGTCGTGGTTTTGGTTTCGGTTGTCTCGGATTCGCACTCAGAACGGCCGAGGGAGGAGGCCCTTTAGTGAGGCCTCGCAAGTTCGATCGTTCTGGTGAAGACGGGTGTTCGCCTTCTTCGTAACCAAAAGACTTCTGTATCAAATTCCATTGAGCTGTGGCTTTCGCTTCGGCGCTAAGGCGATTCTTTGTTTCGGCTGGCATCTTTCCATTCTGTAGAGTTGGCATGCCACCCGCAGTGGGTTTGGTCTCCACATGAAGTTTCCTCAACCGCGCATACTCGGCTTGATGAAGATGTTTAGTGAACAGAGTTGCGGTTGCTAAGAACTCATCCTCTACCATCATCCAGTCGTCGTCAGCACCGATGCCTTCTTTCATATATCTGAGCTTTGTTAGCTTTACGTGTCTTGCAAACGAAGCGCATTTTGGCCTCACTCTTTTGGCGGCGGCCCCTCTTCAGCTGATGAGCGGATGGGAGAAGACGACATTGCACGTTCTACTATAGTCAGCGCGGCTCATAGGCTCTCATCTTGATGCCTTTTACCTGCTCTTTCTTTTCCTTTCCTCACGTTTGACGCGTCAGCCCTGATGAACTCATTTTCCTCATATTCATCAAACTCTGGCGTAACCAGTCGTTGCCTCTTCGCGGGCCTTGCAGCCTTTGGCCCTTCAGAAGAGCTCGCTGCTTGCTTTGCCTTCGCTGTGCTCTGGGTGAGCCACGGGAGTTTGCGCGGCATTGTCCGCGTTGAGAAGGTGAGATGCAGGAGCAACAGGTCTGCGCGACACTTCTTGGAGGTTATGAAAAGGGACCCTTTCTCCTCCAAGATAGAGCCTTCGATAGAGCATGCATCGCTGGCCTTTCACCGCACAGAGTGCATGGGGAGGGGTGTTCAGGTGGCGCCCAGAAGATCCGAATGTGCTAGCCGTTTCTAGCCTAGCGTGCCCGCTCCTCCAAGCCGTCAACATGTCGACGTTGCGCCCTTCTGCCTACCTAGGTATCCGTACTTCTTCGTCGAGTCGCGTTTGAGTCACAAGCTCTGCGATGTTCCATCTACATTCACCAACTGGAACGTCATATTAAGGCATGTTTCACAATTCCTATCGAGAGGCATTCTAGACGGCACGTCTAGAGCGGCCCCGTGAGTTTACAGACCTTGAAAAATGATGCACTAACATCTTGTCCAGCTCTCTGAAAGTGCGTTGAGACACGCCTGCCAGCGTTGGCCAACGGCGTATCCTTCTCGTCATTGCCTTCGTTGGGCATTCAAACCTGTCAGCAGACGACGAGACGGCCCTACGACATGACACCTTGCGGTACTTGGATAAAGTCTCTTTCGTAACTTCTTTCTCTATTTCATTCTAAAATGCCCTCTTTCTTTCGTACTCCAAGCGAGGACGCTTCCTCTTCGGACGATTCTAGCGATAATGCCCCCAAAGATATCCAAGACTTTCAGCATTCGTACAGCGAGCAACTCGATGATCTCTCGCGTATTCAGACACTTAGCACTAGTGGCGCAGAAGACGGAGAAGATGTACCTCGGCGCCCCCGTGCAGGACCAGTAAGACGTTCTAGTAATCGGGGGAAAGACCTCATAATCCATGCCTTACTTGAAGAAAAGGCACGCAAAGAGGCAGCCGACGAGCTATTGAAAGCGCCAGACCATCCAGATGTTGTAGCCTTAAGCCAGCAAAAGTACAACACTCTGTCGCAAAGCCTCCATAACTTGGCCAACGTTTCCTCAGAATTCAGTGCCGAGAGTCACCGCACCAAACGCGAAACAGTACGACAAGGACTGCAACTATTGTCAAGATCGCAGCCTGGATCTTCTGCTCTGCCGAACACGTACACCCCAAATAGTGGCAGTACGACGGCACTTGCGTCAACTTTTCGCAACGTTCTCACATTTTCGGGAAGCTCTGGGTCGAACTCTCCCCGAGAGCGTACCGTACTCCTTGGGCAAGTTCCAGAATCACTACAACCACTACTAGGGGGCCACACTGGGTTCAACTCTTCACGCTATGCCCAAGAATTTGAACAGAAGTGTCTACTCGGCAAGGGAGGCTATGGCCACGTTTACATGGCGAAGAATAGACTCGATGGCTTCGATTATGCGGTAAAGCGTATTCCCCTGAGCACAATGCGTATGAGGAAGATCTACCAAGGTGGCCAAAAGGAACTAGAGCTCCTACTGGAAGAGGTACGCACTTTGGCACGACTAGACCATCGCAACATCGTACGATATCACCACGCCTGGCTAGAAGCTTCAGAATCAGATGCACTCTCATCGCAATTTGATAACGGTCTTAAGCTTTTGGAGGGCCCCAGCACCTTTGGAAGCTCAGAACTGTACTCAGAGGATGTCACTTCTAGTGCGTCGTATGTTGAGAACGAGGCTCCAACAAGTCTTCCGACAGCGTCTGGAGTAGAGTCGAGTGATCATCTCTCTGACGATATCTTTGATCGTTCCGGTACCCCTCAGGGGAGTCGAAAAAGCCAGAGTAAAGACGTCGACGAAGAAGACGCTGATGAGACCATTCTAAGAGAGTCGTACGCCTCTCACGAGCTACCAGCACCAGAATTGACACCAGACTTGTCGCAGCGTAATGTTCCCCCCCCCCCCCCCCCCCCCAAAAAAAAAAATTGAAACCCCGTGCTTACAAAAAGTAGTCATCAGCAATACCATTGGGCTCGCATTTACTCTTAACATCCAGATGTCCCTCCACCCTCTCACGCTAGAACAGTTCCTGGCAGCAGAACATTCGAACGAAGCGTCCTCTATCCAACTGAAACACTGTTTCCACCCTGCCATATCCCTCCGCATCCTCCTCAAGATCTTGAAAGGCGTCTCCTACCTTCACTCCCAGAATGTGGTGCACCGCGACCTCAAGCCTGCGAACATCCTCCTCTCTGTCTCCCCCAACAAGAGAATATCTGGCTCTATCGACATCACGTCCTGCCACCAATGCTCCCGCGGCGTCGAACCTCCACATTGTGTCTACATCAACCCGAGAATTGGAGACTTTGGCCTCGTTGGGGCACTGGAGGACGCGTTGTACACTGGCCCTGCTTCAAAAGCCGTCGGAACGGAGTTCTACAGGCCGACGCAGACGGGTCCAATGAGTGAGAAAATCGACGTTTTTGCCCTGGGTGTGATCCTTTTTGAGCTTTTGAGAGAATTTCCCACAAGGATGGAACGCATCATGACCCTACAGGGCCTGAAGTTGGGCCGAATGCCTACAGACTTTGCGGAGCGCGTGGGTGAGCGGGGAGAGCGTGTTGCCGGTTTAATCAACGCAATGGTGGATGCGGAGGAGGCAAAGAGGCTCACGTGTCTTGAGGTCAAACATTGGATTGAGGAGATCTTGGCCCAGGAAGCGTAGGATTTGGGACATCACGGGACGTGACATTTGTAGGAACTTGTAACTTGTATAATACTAGCCCCAAGCATCGTGAATCGAAGAGTTGCCTTGATTAAAATGCTAGTATGGTAACGTGTCTATGGGTCTCCTGGGCGAAGTTGGATTCTCACTTCGTGATGTAAAAGACTCGACGCCTTAAATTGGACGCCTTCTCTTGCGTTCCAGCATATGACTGTGTATTAGGTCGTTGATTTCAGCACACGCATATCCCCCTGCTCTAGCTCCCCTTTTGTTCCCTCAATACCACTATAAGGAGGACCCCACCTAGCCCCTAGCTGGCCAGCCGAAGGACAGCCCGGATTCCACTCCATCAATCTTTACATCGTGTACAAACATTTTAGAGCATATAGAGGTACCATAAACCGTGCCAACCGAGTGTGCATAAGAGTTGCGAAAGACATCTAAAACAGAACCGCGAATTAAGACATCTCTGAATCTTATCACTGGAACCTTATTCTTGCTCGCACGATGCCACCGTAAGGAGGACCCCAGCTCGCAGCTACCTGACCAGTCAAGGGGTAGCCTGATTTCCATTGTGTGAGCCTTTACATCGTGTACACACTCTGTAGAGCACACGGGGGTACCATAAGCAGTGCTAACCAAGTGCGCTAAGAACTGCACCACACATTTAGACACACATATATCCCATTACTTAGGCTCTACTTTTGCTCGCTTGATACCACTGCCAGGAGCACCCCAGCTAGCACGTACCTGGCGAGTCAAAAGGTAGTCTGAATCGCGCTGCCTCATTCTTTGCATCGTATTCGGAGTTCTTGCACGCGCGACACCGCCGTTAGGAGTGCCTTAGCAAGCGGATAGCCGGTTAGTCAAGAGGTAGTCCGATTCCTACTCTACGAACCTTGATATCGTTTTAGCATTTTTTCAAGCTTATAGGGATGCCCTAAACGGTGCCGGGTGGTGCTTATGGTGGCGCGGTACGCATCGGAATTCCACTCATTTTACGTGTCTGAACTCCACCAGTTTACGCGTCTGTACTCCACGCTTTGCAGTAAGCCATGTCTTTCCAGATTAGTTAACAAGATGAGGCACCAAGGCAGAGATTTGTGGTATAAAGAGCTTCATGAGATAAGTAATGATACAATACTGAATCAGTACCAAATACTCCTGGTCCGATGATGTGGTATCTCCTCCTCGCCCTCATCTTCTTTCTCTTTCGCCAGGTCGTACAAAAAGAAGTCTATCAAAATGGCATTTATTTTCGCCTCCGGATGGTCTCTAACGATCTCACGGCGGAGAAGTTCCACACTCCAGATGCTGCAACCACGTAGCTGCAGCTCCCAGCTGTGCCCACATTCGAGCGGGTCCAGCCGGCGGATGCGGGACTCGAGGGGCGGGCAGTAGATCAGGCAGCCGAAAGAGTGGAGGATTTGCGGTATTCGGTAGTCTTTGCATACGTTAGACGCTGGACGGGGATTGGCCGTAGGTACAAAAGAAAGTAACTCACCTGCAAACATCGTAATCTTATCGATGTCATTGAACTCGCCGTAGCTCTCGCCCTCAAACGCAGCCCACAGATCCGCCACAAAGATTTGTGCGCGCTTCAGGAACCTCACTTGCCGCCTCTCGAACTTGTGCTCATCTCTGAAGCACGGGAAGGTGTCAGCTAGCAAGTTGACTAGTCCAGCCGCGGAGTTCTTGGCGTCCTCGATAAGCGTCACGATACTGCCGTCAAATTCCTGCCCTGTCAGTTCGGGGTCTGACAAGCGCACGGTCCAAAAGGATGTCTACATTTACACACTTCGACTAGGATCTCGCCTGCTTCGCGTAGGCAGGCGACGCGCTCGGCGAACAGGGGGACTTCTTCAGATGTGACAGATCGGAAGACGGAGCGGAGGACTTCTTCGGTGCATTCTTCTTCATTGGCCCAGAAAGCAGGGGAGGTGATGGGTATCTCTGGGATAGATGAGCACTAAAATTGGAAGAGAAGAGGAAATTGGAGAGACAGTACCTTCGTCGAGTGCTCGTTGCAGTGCAGCCACTAAACTCCAGTACCCTGTCCACCTTTTCTCTTTGTATTCGACCGTAAATCTCTCCTCGGCATTTTTCTCACTCCAGAATGAGAAGTTCAGCAAGTCCATGATGAAGATGAAATTGACCGTAGCTTCGTCTTTACTTTTTGGGTGAAGTTCGTGCTCTGACCACGTTTTCGTGCTGTAAGAGCGCTCTTGCATGGATTCCCAGATAGCAATAGCAGCGTTCTTAGTTCCCCGCATGTCAAGTGCTACGTCGATGCTGTTGTTGTAAATGTACTCTGCATCTTGCAGCACTTTCGTCTCTGGGGCTGCATTGGGATCAGCAGGCCCGATACCAAGTGACTTGCGGAGCAAATCCAGAAGCTCGAGATCGGGTTCGTCGTCGGACATTGTGTGCTGAGTGGCGAAGATGGGCTGGTGACACGTCTGAAAATGAATGAAACGTGGGAGACTTGGTGTGATACGTCTTTTTCTCAGCGGGTTTTCCAGGGCTTGGATGTTCCTTGCAACGGGAGATCGACATCAAAGGAGATTGGAAAAGATGATTACGCGCGTTTTTATTCTCCGTGAAAATCTGAGTATATTCTCAGCTTGAATGCAGACAATAAGCACAGCGCAGCATCTATTCGGGCGAGAGAGAGAGAGCTGGCCGTGTTTGTGCCTGGTCGGGATGGTGCAGCTGAGCCGTTCAATCGGGCCGGAACTTTCGCACGGGCCCCTCTCGGGAGTGATGCGGCTCTCACACTAGCGTTGACGCCGAGCAGACAGCCTCTCGCGACCTCTCACCTTCGCTCCGACAACTTCACCTCACCCTCGCTTGGCCCCTCTAACCTTCCTCTCATCCACCTCATCCTCCGTACATGTCTTACCCAAGCCCGCCCGTCAACATCTAGTCGCAATGGGGCGCGATCGATATCCAAAGCAGAGCCTTGGCTCTCTCTACCGTCAGATCAAGGACGTAAGAGTTGTGGTGCCGCAACAGCTATCCACACTTTCGCTAATACAAACTCCAGTCGCGCGTGCTTATGGTAGGAGCTGGTGGCATCGGCTGCGAGCTCCTCAAGAACCTCGTCCTGACCGGATTTGGAGAAATCCACATTGTGGATCTGGATACGATCGATCTGAGCAACTTGAACCGCCAGTTCCTCTTTCGCCACGAGCACATCAAGAAGTCAAAGGCTTTGGTACGCACTAGGAGAACCTTCAAATCGTCTCGCGCGACATGAGCTGATGAGGTACCGTTTACAGGTTGCGAAAGAATCGGCGGGGCGCTTCAACCCGAACGTCAAGATCGAGGCGCATCACGCCAACATAAAAGATCCACAATTCAACGTCGACTACTTCAAGAGCTTTGCGGTCGTTTTCAATGCGCTAGACAACCTGGAAGCGAGGCGGCATGTCAACAAGATGTGTCTGGCTGCCAACGTCGCCCTCGTTGAGAGCGGAACTACGGGCTTCAATGGCCAGGTTTCGGTGATCAAAAAGGTGGCTTACCCTGAGGATTTCAGGGATATACTTGGACATAATGGGCTTACTAGCATAGGGGAAAACGGAATGTTACGACTGCACGCACAAGGAGACCCCCAAGAGCTTTCCAGTTTGCACGATCCGCAGCACGCCCAGCCAGCCGATCCATTGCATTGTGTGGGGAAAATCCTATCTCCTCACCGAGATCTTTGGCACTAGCGAAGACGACTCTCCGGAGCTCGACCACTCAGAAGACTCCGAAAACCTCAAGGAGCTCGAGAAGCTGAGACAGGAGTCTCAAGCCTTGAAAGTCATACGAGGATCTATGGGCTCTGAAGATTTCCCCCGCCTAGTCTTCAACAAGGTCTTCAAGGAAGACATAGAGCGTTTGCGCTCTATGGAAGAGATGTGGAAGACGCGGAAGGCACCACAAGCGCTCGATTATGACAAGCTATCACAAGAAGCACTGGGATCAGGCACTGCTATCGCGCAGCAGGACCAAGTTACCTGGACACTGGCCGAGAACTTCTCCGTCTTCGTCGACTCAATCAGGCGACTGAGTAGTAGGCTGGAAGACCTGAGAGCGAGCTCGGTCACAGGCAACGCCCCTCCTATCCTCTCCTTTGACAAGGATGATGTAGACACTCTAGACTTCGTCGCGGCTACTGCTAATCTTAGGTCCTACATATTCGGGATAGAGATGAAGTCGAAGTTCGACATCAAGCGTAAGTCAAAAAGCACTTTGAAAACGCCTGTCAGACACTAAATATCAACAGAGATGGCTGGCAATATCATTCCGGCTATTGCCACCACCAACGCAATGACGGCCGGCCTTGCCGTTCTACAAGGCTTCAAGATCATGCGTGATGAACTGGACAAAGCTAAGACAGTATTCCTGAATCCCGGCAAGGGACTGACCGAGAGGGCTACTCTACCTGAGCCACCAAGACCCCCAAAGCCGGACTGCCCAGTGTGCAGCGTTGCGCAAACGAGACTTATCGTCGACACATCACGTGCCACGCTCAACGACCTGGTCGAAGACTTCCTCAAATTGGAGTTGGGATATGGAGACGAGTTTAGCGTCAATAGTGAAGCAGGAACTCTATACGACCCTGAACTTGATGACAATCTGTCCAAGAAATTCCCCGAACTCGGAGTCAACGGTGATAGCTTTCTCACAATCATTGACGAAGAGGATGAAAATCCTCGGGTGAATTTGGTTCTCGCTATCTCCGAACTACCATTACCGAAAGACTCGAAGCCGATCCACCTTCCCGAGAAGTTGAGCATCGCTCGGAAGCCAAAACAAACCCCAGCACCATCAGAGACGAACGTGAATGGAGCCGTTACCAACGGAGCTGTAAAGCGCAAGCGCGATGCGGATGAGGCTGAACTCGAGGATGAGCTGATTCGGAAGCGCGGCAAGGTCGCCGAGGAATCGTCCAAGGCCATACAGAATGGAGACGCAATAGTCTTAGATGATTCCGCCGACGGCGCTATCGTGATAGACGACGATTGAGGATTCCGACTTGATTTCTACTTTCAAGAGCCGCTCTCAAAGATTGATCTTCACGAACTTTATCCTCCAGTCACCACGGAAGCTTAGAGCTGGTAAAAATCATCACGACGATTTGGTGGAGCCTCATATCTTGGAGAAGCGATCTGAATATGCCTCACTCATCTCGACTTGGCGCTCTGGGATATCTTTTCAATCATGTATATCAAGACCTAGGGCCGGAGGGAGTTTCACGTAGCGCTGAGACCGCCGTCAAGGTTTATGACGCAGTTGTTGGCATACTGGTTCGTAACCAGAAACAACGCTGCGTCTGCGATTTCGTCTGCTTGGCCGAATCGTCCTAAGGGTATGCGTTGGAGCATTTGGTGGCGGACTTCGGGATCCATACCTACACATTTGCATTTGTACATTAGCTTTTTCGGACTTTTGCTTTGGGCCACAACGTCGAGGCGGGTTGGATGGTTTGGGATGGGGAGTCAAGTCAGGTTGGTGGCGCGATGGTTGCGCACGGAATACCCCCAAGTCTGAACTGACGATAGAAATACATAAGTTGCTTACCTGATATCATGTCTGTTTCGATGTATCCGGGCACTATGGCGTTTACGCGGATTCCTGTGGGTCCGAGTTCTGCGGCGAGTGCGCGTGTGAGGCCTGTGAATTCACGTCAGCGTCTGATCTACTCTCAGCTCAAAGCGTTCTACGCACCTAGAACCCCCGCCTTACTCGCACTATACGCCACCGACCCTCTTCCTCCCTGCACCGCCAACAAACTCGCGAGATTGATCACCACAGGACTGAACTTCCCCTGCCTTTTCGACTCACCCCGCATCAGCTTCTTCTTTAGCAAAGTCTGCACCATCAGCATTGACCCCGTAAGATTGGTCTGCACGATTCTCTGCACATCCTCGATACTAGACCGCACCAGTAGCCGTATCAGTGTCACGCCTGCCGCATTGACTAGGATATCGACCTTCGCTACATCGGCCTTCCAGTCCAGAACCTGGTCCGTCTCGTCACACAGAAAGCCTTCCTGGCCGGCAGATGCGATATCGCCAGCGAGACTCGTGTGGTAGCTTTCTGTGGAGCTGACCGAGGTAGGTACGGCTAGCGAGCGGAGTGCTTCAGACCCAGTGTCGGGGTTGCGGGATAAGATGGTGATGCGGCAGGAGTGGGTAGCGAAGAGGCGGGCGATGGCGAGGCCGATGCCGCGGGAGCCGCCGGTTATGAGGGCGTGTTTGCCTGAGAGGGCGCTGGAGATGGGAACATTCCTTTCTTTGGTGTCTTCTGGGGCTTGCGATGTTCGCGATAGAGAGAAGTAGCGTGGGTGGTGTTGGGTGTTGCGATTGAAGACTGCTATGATATGGCGGAGGGAGGGGAGACGAGGTGGCATTGTGGAGGCTCTGGTAGGGAGTGTATAGGTCTTTAGATTTCAAGGAGATATATATCTTATAGGCTTCAATTGCTCAAGTCGATTGGGATGTTTCTAGAGAGGATGTCGGAGAATAGATTCTCCGACACACGAAATCACGTGCTCACGAATCGGCTGCTTTTGTTGCCTTCGTTTTCTTTCACCTCTCCTCTAATCCGCCATCCCCGCGACCACAATCATGGCTCTTAACGACGAAGGCCAGACGAATTACGTGACGCTCGTCTCGAGCGATGGGTTCGAGTTTAAGATCCTCCGCTCAGCCGCCTGTATTGCGCCCACGATCAAGAACATGTTGAATCCAGCCAGTACGTCCCTTGTTCTCCGCTCAAAACTGGACAGATACTGACACCGCATCCTACAGCCGGTTGGCAAGAAGCAAGAGAGAACCGATGCATCTTCAAGGACATCAAGTGCGCCTCCCATAATCCCACCCGTTCCGCTTGTTGAGTTGTCGGTCTAATGTGAGGGCATCGCAGCGGTATCGTGCTCGAGAAGATCTGCGAGTACCTATACTACAACGAGAAGTACGAGAATTGCAAGGATATACCGGACCTGGACATCCCACCAGAGCTGTGCTTGGAGTTAGTGATGGCGGCGGATTACCTGCAAGGCATGGCTTCCCGGCGACGATTAGCTAAGGAGCTTGTGCTAAGTGCGATGCAGTTTGATCGTTTAACCCGATTTTTAAACACGTTGGATCTAACATGCTAGAGAATAGCATGCTCAAAGACTAGGATATGTGATCCGACAGCGCAACGCTTTGCTACCACAACGACGTTAAGCCAGCACCCAGTATTGACCCGATCTTGCGAGCTCTGGGAAGGTTCATGACGATTATGGATGCGTTACGACAGGATGAATTATGAGGTGCAGCTCCGGCATATGGGTAAAGGCGTAGTGGTGTTCAAGCAATGAGTATACCCGCCCCTGTGGCACAGTTCGTTTTCAGAATCGAGCATTTTCCTCATTTCTCCTACTCTCATCGTCTGGATCTGCACGCCCAACGAATATCTCCTAGTTTCGATGAGTGATGTGGTATAGTAGCAGACTCGTTGGCTGTGCGCTCACGCTGGGTGTGAAAATAGTTGCACACTCATCAGGCACTCCGTCTCGCGGGTACACCTGTCTGCCACTGTCGAAGGTGCTTAAACAAGTTTCCACATAGTCCAAGGCAAAGGGGTCTTATCTCGTTCAGATTCCTGAAAATGCATTGAAGCACCCCGAGCATAGGCAGGCAGGTGCACACACGAGACTGCTTGCTGCAGCATTAGAGTGCCACCTTTTCCATGCCCCGCGTGGCACTCTCGCTCGCTGTTGCCTAGAGTCCTTCAAAGCATCATCATAACCTGGAAACAGTGCCGGATTTCAAGCGTGCGAATTAGACAGGCTTCCGAACGCCCATCATTAAATAATCCGCCATATTAGAGCACCTCACGCAATGGGGAGCAAGTCCGCATATTCTAGGATTATGAATAATCCTCCGTTGGAACCACTTCAGCATCACGAGCATATACATTCTTCACTTTACCCTATGGGAGAAATGTCTATAGTTGATGCAAGATTGAAACTTCCCTTCTAATAACTAGTTTGCCTCCTCTTCCTGTGGAGGTTAGATTTTTATATGAGGGAGACATTCCCCGTTCCTTGTAGTACGTGCGTCGTTCGTAGTTAATGGAACTTTTTCTCCTTTTCAGTTTGCAAAAATTTGAGCGTTTGACGATGTACGTGACGTAAGGTTGCTGAACGGAGAAGGATTACTAAGGCGTCATGATCATGCGACTCGTAGCTCACGTGCCATCTGCTGGATCTTTCCGCTATTTTCCTATAAGAACAGCGTCCCCTCCCTCATCACGCAAGAAGTTAAAGGTTGAAAAATGGTTCTTGGGTTCAACACCACTTCGACAAGCTTAACATGGCTGGTGCTGCAGTCCCTCCTTCAGAAACCATACCGCGGCCAATGAATGGTGTTCGGTGGAAGCGGTGGTGGATCAACAGACAGATCAACGCTTGCAATGGAGTTCGAAATCCACAACTGCCTCCACTCATGGTGGTGGACTGGAACCTGGACGAAGTGATGGGGTGGTAGTGATTAACCGCGTTGATGGCGAACATCAGCACTGAGATGGATGATATGCATGAATGACTTCTGCTGATGTGCGGTATTCACGAAGACGGGGGAGCGTTGGAGCGCATTATTAGGCTGCTATACTGTGTTTCGATACCGGAGTTCCAATCTCCGAGCTGGAATCCATTGGAGGACTTCATATGAGCCTTTAGATGAGAGGACACGACGGGTGAGTATGAATGACTGCGAGGAGATCTGCTGAGAGAAGACAGGAGATATATCAAAGCCCAAGTCGTACGCACGTGATCTAAGTTTTCGAGTGCTTTAATGCAAAGAGTTGCGAGATTCAATGACAAGATACTGTTGGATTATGACAATCACCTACAGCAATCACTGCCGGTAGCAAACAGGGCGCTTCTATATACATAATGTCGCGTTCTATCAATGTTCAGATGCTACGGCCCGCAAACCAACAGATACTGAGTGTCACTTTTTTTCGGTGAAAGCATGCATAGGAGTTTTATAGCTCATTGTTGTGTAGGTGAGGTTGCTTGTCCATTTATTGGCATTTTCTCTTTATCTAGTCTTGGAAAGTCTAGGTTCATTATGAGGTCTTCGGAGGGGAAGGAAATACTAACTTAAATCCAACCGGGAAAAAGAGCAGTAGTATGCAAAGGAATATTGAAATAAGTCGCCATTGCCAGAAAGCCCTCCATGCAACACCGATACCAGTTATGGACCCTTTCAGCTCTCTCGTGAGTTTTTCCAGCCCTTCGGACCTAGCAGACGTCCACAGTTCGCCAGAACCAGCTCTTGGCCTTGCCACACCTATGCGCATGTGGACGAAGGATTCGCCTAGTGGGTATCCGTCTCATCTTTCGGATCGATGCCTTGGCGCAACTTTCATCAAATAGCTAGGCCCTTTCCGTAACTTCAGAGGCTCCAAAGTGAACTCATAATGCTGACTGAGCTTCTCGCACAACTCTTGCCACTTCCGAGCACCTTTGATACGCCTACTCGCCTCGATCCCATAGCTAACCTTGACGACTCGGTAGTACCACCTTGGACCGACTATGGTATAGTGAGCACCATGTGGTGGTACTCTAGTGGGGTTATCACGGTGCCGCCATATGCACATCTCCTCAATGTTCCCCGCTTGGAGCTCTTCAATCCAACCCGGGCTCTTCAAGATCGCGAGTTTCTCCGCAAGCGGCACGAGTTCCGGGGGTTCCGTTCGGTCCTCTTCACAGCGGGCGCACGCGCCGTGCATGCTGCTGACTTCGATGGATACGTCTGGATGCTCGGTTGCGAACATGACGTACGGGACGAGCTCTGCGCCGATGAATTTGTAGGTGCAAACGTGGAGCCGCTTGATCCACTGCAGGCTGTCGCCGAGGTCGATCTGCCACGCGCGGAATCGCTCAATCTGGCGAGTTTCTTCGAGCTTGCTATTTATGTAGAATTTGGTGAAGTCGTTGTGGATTGTGAACAGATTCTCGGCATAGTAGATTGATCTCGCTTCGCGGCGGACCTGGCGCGAAACTTGCAGAAGAGCGACCGTAGGCGGGTTGTCTAGGGGTTTAGGTTTCGGTCTTGCGATGTTAATACGTCCGTTCGTGAACATACTAGGTCTCTCTGTGGCGTGCTGGGTTGGCAGATGTTCGGGGGTCTCCTCCCTCTCTGGTTCAGGGTCAATGTCGAGGTAGACGAGAAGTGGATCCTTAGATACTAGAGCTAGGCGGTAGATAAAGTTTCGCAACTCGCCGGAAAGGCCCATGAAGCCGGTCTTTGGCTCTGCGGTAGCATCATCGAGCTGGGCAGTAGAAGTTTCCGGGACTGCCATAACTTCAGACGTCGTGGATTGAATGATCGAGGTGGCTTTGCCAACATGAGAGTGAGAGGTTTCCGAGTTTTCCATGACTGTATTTATTGTAGTTCCATTGTCTTGTTGCTTAATTGTTGTTGCTACGCGGGAGCTTCTTGTGTGCGCTTTCTTTCTCGGCGGTCCTGGAGCTTTCTGGACACGCTTTTCGAACTTGATTCTTCCCATATCAACGTAAACTCAGCGGGTCCTGATAAAGTTAGGGGTAGGGCTGGGTGAGGCTCCGCATGGGCCGTGATCTGCAGCGGGCTCGGGAAATTCAAAGGTGAGCTAAGCGAGAGAGTTCATGACGCAACTACCTAGTGTAGTCAACTATTCCTTCGTCATCCATACATATTTCAATCGGCCTCTGTGCCTCCAAAACCTTCGCAGCACACTCATCAATCCTCTCTCCAACCGATTCATACGAAACCAAGCGAACCACCATCAATTCCAACCTCACAAATCGCAAACCAACCCAATTACCCATCAATTGAACCTCTCAAACTGCAACCATGCCGGCCCTCCTAGACACCTACAACTCCTCCATCCTCGCCATCCCCGCCTACTACGTCCTCTCCGTCCTCCCCCACTCCTACGCCATCCACCTCGCAACCAACGGCAAGCTAGTCTCGTGGGACAACCGCAACCCGCGCTCCACCACGCTCAAAGCGAACCTCAAGCAGACCCTCGACGCCACGACGTACGCGCGCTACGAGCGCGCCGAAGCATGCCACGCTAACGGCATGGAGAACCTCCCGCTCTTTGCGTCAGCCGTCATCCTGGGCAACATGGCCGGGCTGAAGCGCGATGGCATCTACGGCCTGTCCGGCTTCGCAGGCTTGTTTCTGGCGATCCGGGTTGCGTATACCGTTGTGTATTTGGGCACGACTACGAACGGCCCGACGGTGCTGAGGAGCACGCTGTGGGCTGCTGGCTCGACGCTGTGTGTGCGCGTCATTCTGGAGGCTGCGAGGGCGCTGAGAAATATCACGTTGGTGGTGGCTTGAAGTGATGCAGAGAGACCAAAAGGTCGTCTCTAGATCTCCGGTTCATTGCAGCGGCTGTCGAAGTGGATGGGTTGAAGGAGGCCTTGCCGATGGTGCCGATGGTGCCGATGGTGCCGATGGTGCCGATCGTTCGGCCTCTATATGAGTCTTTTCGACGGCGAGTGGAGATGCCTTTGAGGAGGCCAACGTGTATATCAACCTTGTATTCAACATCTGGAGCGTCCAGCAGTTTCCTAGCGCTTCGATGACGGCTGGAGCATCTGCCCAGGATGGTCGAAACGAAACGTGTGTATCAAACTTCTTTCCCCACGTGTGGCCTTCAGTAGTGCCAGTGAAGTGATGTCGAAGTGCTATTTCAGTTTGATCTTGCGCTTGGCCTTCGATAGTCTTCTGTCATCGAAGACAATAGCACTTTTTGGATCATTCGTGTCAGTACATGAAGACCAGAAGTCCACTAGACCGATTCGCTCTACCGCATCTTCACTCTTTTCAAGAACCATGACCATAGGGCTCCTACTAGCTTGTTTTCTGTATCCTAGGATGATGCAATCCCATTTGCAGCTGATCAGAGTCTTACTAAAGTCGTCTCCATGTTGGATCTCTCTACATAGCAACAAAGGCGAGTAAATGGTGGTTCCGTCTTCAAGATTGACCTTCGCATAGTACTCGCACATATCTGACGCTGATTCCATATCGTCTGCAGCTGATGGAAGTACGCCGTTCTTGAGGGCGCATACAATGTTGATCTGGAAGGTCCAAGATTCAACCTCGAGAAAGCACGACGTTTTCGAAATGGTGGTCTTGGACCCGGTAAAGCTGTAGAGGTCTTGCAGGTTAGCAACCCTTCCATCCTCGAGAGTCACCCTAATCTGTATGTCTGGATTTTCCTGGGCACTGAGAGTCTCAAAACTCGGCCAGTCTTGGATTGGCCCCGCCCACCCAGTCCAAGACCAGCTTGGAAACTCAGGGCGTCGTGCGGCTGGGTGTTTCGGTAGCCAGCATAGTCCTCTAGCAAAGCTCGCGGATAGTTTCCAAGGGTAGCTAGAGTACTGTCTGCTCATCGTAGCCTGCTTCTTCCAGATAATCAGATCCATGTCGAACTCGATTGGCACACCCCAAACGTGGTGGATCGGATACTTTGCCCTTTCGAAAGCACGGAAAATACCTAGCATGCCGCGGAGAACATCACTCTGGTACGTCAGAGATTTTTCGGTGTACTTTTGGATGTGTGAGGTTAGAGGCCAGCATCGTTTCCCGAAGCCACCGCGAAACACTCCATGACGAACGCAGGTCCGGAATCTCCGATGGTCTTTGGTGTGAAACGCTTCCAGGGGTAAGTCTATAGCTTCGCAGCAGTGCATGTTGTTGCACTCGAAGTACACCTGATAATCCGTGAATATCAACCGGCGTATGGAGAACAGTGCTTCTTGATATACCTAAAAATAAAGGTATTAGACAAGATATAAATTGTCGCGAGGATCAACGCACCCATGCCCTGGTCATCCAGGTAGAAGATTTGACTTGCTCTTGAGGATCTGGGAGTGTTGATACCAGCGTTTGTGTTCCAATGACGGCTGACGGCTGTGGTGATCGAGCCCTACTTCCGACTCCTGGAAGTCCATAGAACGGATCACTACCAGCAGCAGCCACGATCGTAACAAACGCGTGATTGTAGATGAGGTCCATCACGCCCATGTGTCGTATGACATCCTCTTTGTTGTCCTGGATTATGCAATACCTGTCGATCCAAAGGAACCTCAGGCCTAAATGCTTGACGACGAATATTGCATCCTCGATCACGGCGGGGAGTTCTTCGGGTAACGCATTCGAGGTTGAAGAGAGGTTCCAATCGGCGTTCTTCCCTCTTTGGCCCCATACATAGCTCATTGCTACATATCTGCAGTCCACTGGAGCTTCCACGACTTTCCTGGAAAAGCAATCGATGACTCTGAGCGAGGGGATACTAGTCTCCTCAAGGATTTTGCAGGTGCTGATGTGCCTGGTAATGCAGAAATTCATCCAACCTCTAAGAATAGAAGTGTCGATGAAATCTGGCTTAAGCACACGACCAAGGATACGTGGGTGTAGAGCTAGATTCATGACTGTATCGGAATATATGTATCCCCATTGATTCAACACTTCTTTTGAGAGTAGTTGAGGCCTCTGAGAGTTTGACTTTTCGGACTTGACCAAACTAAGGACCGCTGTATTGTTCGTCTTTGGCATGAACCGAGAGTTACGGTCGTTGATGATGTGACCTAAGGCGGTGATGCTTGGAAACGCTCGAAGAGAGTACTCGATATCTTCCTTGAGGTTTCCGTTTCCCGAAGAAAAGACGATCTGAGCTAAAAACTGGCAGAAAGGGCATGTCTTGTCTAGCCAATCGCGCGTAATTTGACCAATATCTGCGATAAATGTTCCAACTTTCCCCGTTGCTCCTTTTGTGAAAATGTCCCTAAGGCCGACGGACTCGCAGCGAGCGCACAAGGAGGTTTCATTGCCGAATGGAGGCCAGTCAGATCTAGAAGGGCCATCTTTATTCGCGAAGGGGTCAGCATGATCAGTCTGAGCGCGTTTGCGCTTCCGGCTTTGAGATGCCATCAAGAGGTTGAAGTAACGAGAGCGAGGGCATCATTAGCATGACGGCTTTTGCTGCGGAAGAGTTTGGTTTTTGCCCGCGGATTATCGCTAGCTAGGAAAATATCGTGATGACGGTTGCCTATGGACGAAGTTTGAGGAGCGAGAAGAGCCAGGGGTCCCTCGTGATCCGTTCCCAAGACATCAGCGCCACGTGATTCTAGTAATTGTATATCCGTAGGGTATTTGCTTTGACTATGGAAAGGTGTCATGTAAGCCCGATAGTTCTACATTTCTATCTGTTACGCGCATCTCAATACTCCATTAATGATCAAGTGTCACAATTAATTATAATGTGGCAAGGTGCAGAAACCGCGTTAATTCATTCATCATCTAGAAGGGACCATCTTAATACTCCAGTCCTCTTCCGTCAGAGCTGTTCAACTTTAGAAGCCCCTTGCTGTTGAGGTAGTCGACTATCGCAACCACAGATTCCTCAACGCTCTTCAGATCGCTTCTAATATGGATCTCTGGCGATTCTGGTGCCTCGTACGGAGCTGAGATGCCAGTAAATTCCGGGATCTTTCCCTCTCGCGCCTTCTTGTATAGACCCTTTGGGTCTCTCTGCTCAGCCACCTCGAGTGGGATATCTACGAAGACCTCGATGAATGGCAGCGGCTCGTCTTCTGGGTTCGCGGCGTTCTTCGCGGCGTGCAGATCGCGCGCAACCTGTCGGTCCTTCCGGTATGGCGAGATGAACGAGGTTATGGCGATGGTCGCCGAGTCAGCGAAGAGTTTCGCAACCTGCAAGACCAATCAATTAGACTTGCCCAAAATGAGACGCCTCATGTTCACAGCTGGGAATGCCCACCTCTCCTATCCTCCGAATGTTCTCGTTGCGATCCGCCTCAGAGAAACCCAAGTCCTTGTTCAATCCAAATCGCACATTATCACCATCCAGACGGTATGCAGCTAGCCCTAGGTGGAGGAGATGCTGTTCGAGTGCAGTTGCGATGGTAGACTTTCCAGACGCAGACAGGCCGGTGAACCATAGCGTGAAGCCTCGCTGTTTACGGTTGGTCTGGCGCTCGCTGCGAGAGAGTGATGGGTGCCAGGTGATGTTGCTGCAATCCAATGAGCAGTGAACAAGGCGCTGGCGGGGTTGGCGGGGCATTCTACTTACGTTGCCATAGTGAAACTGTGAGAGTTTTTGCTCGAGTTTTTTGAAGTAATGAGCGTGTCTGTGAAGAGTCTTCAAGGTAAAGAAGGAACGTGAAGGGCTCAATGGCTCTATACTTCAGGCGAAGTCCGACTTTGCTGTGAGACGCAGTGGTGACAGAATTTCGACATCGGCGACATCGGCTTGGCGCTGACGTGCTTCCCGTGCTCGGCAAGGTTTCCTGGCCGGCTTCTCGTAGGGCTGGGCACGGTTCAATCTTTCACGTATTCTAGCCTACTGACCACCTGCAACTTCTGGCAAGATTACGCTTAGCCGTTTCTTAGGCAGCACCACCACTGCTTAGTTTTTGCATTAGGTGACGTCTTTAGAGGGCATCGCACCTCACATATTGGCAAGTAATCATCTTCGATCATCGTATGCAGCAGGCCCGCCAGGGTGCAAAAAGTCTGATGGTCAAAGAAAGCGAATCAAATTCTCGCTACGGAGAAGAGCAAATTCTTCTTCGCAGGGTTGAAATTTTTTCCTTCACGCGCAAATGATGAGCCAATCGTGCACCTAGGACCTTATTCCACATCTACTAAAGTAGGATAGCGTTACAGTATATTAAGCCGGCACGTGGCTGGTAGAGGAGAGGTGGGGTGAATGCGGGAGGGCGCGCACGGTGCGCACATTAGTGGCTTGGCTCGCCCACTCAAACTTTCTTATCAAGTGTCCTCCCACCGTTTCGACAACACGTCTTCTCCGCAAGTCAGAGAACCAATTGATCTTCACAATGGCAGGCCCCGGAAAAGGAAAAGTGTGTCTTGCCTACTCGGGCGGTCTCGATACCTCTTGCATCCTGAAATGGCTTCTCGAACAAGGATATGAAGTCGTTTGCTTCCTCGCAAATGTCGGACAGGTGAGTCAGGCTAGGCCGTAACCACAGCTCAACAAAATAACAATTGGCCTACAGGAGGAAGACTGGGACCAAGTCCGCGCAAAGGCATTGAAGCTTGGAGCCACCAAAATGATCATCAAGGATCTCCGCCGTGAATTTGTCGAGCAGCTCTGCCTCCGCGCAATTCAGTGCAATGCCCAGTACGAAGGCACCTACCTGCTTGGTACGAGTCTTGCCCGCCCGGTCATCGCACGAGCGCAGATGCAAGCCACCCTTGACGAGGGATGCCAATACGTCAGCCACGGATGCACGGGCAAAGGAAACGACCAAGTCCGCTTCGAATTGGCCTTCCTCGCCATCGACCCCAAGATCAAGATCATTGCTCCCTGGCGCCTACCTGAGTTCTTCGAAAGATTCGAAGGCCGAGATGCGTTGCTCGACTACGCCGCCCAGAAGGGGATTCCAGTAGCTTCAACCAAGGCCAAGCCTTACAGCATGGATGACAATATCGCTCACTGCAGCTACGAGAGCGGACAGCTAGAGGACCCGTCCAAGCCACCTCCAGTTGATATGTGGACTCGCACCAATGACCCGATCACTGCGCCCTCTACTCCCCAGGAAGTTACTATTCGCTTCGAGAAGGGCCTCCCGGTCAAGGTCAGCTCCAACGGCAAGGAATGGACGGACAGCCTCGAGCTCTTCACTGCCCTGAATGAGCTCGGTAAGCTTCACGGCATCGGCAGGATTGATATCGTCGAGGTTCGTAATCGGAATCTTGTAATCACGTGACGCTAATTTGTGAAAGAACCGATTCATCGGAATCAAATCCCGAGGTGCGCCGTCTCTGAGGACCCTTAGTTGCAATACTTCTAACTTTTTTTAAGGCTGCTACGACTCGCCGGCTATGACAATCCTGCGAGCGGCACACTTGGATCTTGAAGGTCTTGTCATGGACGGAAAGGTCCGATCTCTGCGTGACCAGTTTGTTACACACGCGTGGTCGGAGATCCTTTACAATGGACTGTAAGCTACATTTTGAAACGCTCGCTGACTATGTTGCTTATGGATGGAACAGCTACTTCTCTCCTGAGCGTGAATTTGTTGAGAACAGTCTTGTGTTCTCACAGAAGCGAGTCGTAAGTCTTAATCTTTAGTCCACGGGCTTTCGAATCTAAAGCCTTTCCCAGAACGGAGAAGTTCGTCTCCGCCTGTACCGCGGTAACGTCTGGATCACGGGACGATCATCCGAAACCGAGAAGCTGTACTCCGAAGAGGAGTCATCCATGGACAGCCTTGTTGACTTCAGCCCTGTCGACACGAGTAAGTTGCCCCAAATACGCCTTTGGGTCTTCTTTCCATCGCCGTGTAGCTTTCTGACAATTTTATAGCCGGATTCATCAACATCACCGCCATCCGTCTCAAGAAATACGGAGTGCAGAAGCAGGAGGAAGGTAACAGCCTCGCAAAGCCGTGAGAAGATTTGGTGTGTGCCCTGTCCCAAAATGGCCAGTTGCTGGAGTCTGGAGTGAAAATACATGGAACGAGGCCTCCCAATGTATTATAATCAAACTGAACAATCGTCTCTTCGAGACGCTAACAAAAGCACTGTTTCTACCTCTGGTTCCAATTGCTACCTATATCTCCAGAAAATAGAGGATGGGAGGGAGAGGGGCCGTCACTCGGACAACCTCAAGTTAAGCGCTCTCCAACCTCGCAACCCCCAAGCAGAAAATCACTCCACCGCCGCAACTCGAATTGTTTCCATGGGCACCTACCCCGAAATCTCCAGAGATATTTACTAACGGGCGCCCCAAGGTGGTAAGTAAGGTATCAGTCTTTCTTATTCTAATATTCCATTACGTTAGCTTTCACAACTTATTTAGAATTCTAAAAGCCTATCGGAGTACCCCAAGTAGTCGTAAAGAGTGCCCAAACTTATGAGGTATTGGCACTGCTAGTGTGTCAGGGCGATTCCTGTGGGCCAAGACCCACGAACCTTGGGTACAGCATAGCTGAGTATCCATGGATCACTCCTGAGGTCAACCACGATGGATGTCTTGGAAAGTTATGGAACATCAGAGGGCAATAATCGTAGCACCGCATCAGAGCGCAACGCGCATCCAATACAAAATCCCCGTTCACGCTCAGGTTTCACAACTCAGCCCAGCACTCACAACGCAATACTCACAACGCAACTCTCACAGCGCAACTCTCACAAAGCAACTCTCGAAAATGGCCTTTTCGTTCATCCGTTCCTCCTACCTAGTAGTCCTAGCTGCCGTAGGACTTCGAGGGTGCCCTCAAGAAGCCACCTCGGCCAACAGCGCGGACGAGCCTGCCACTGCCTCCACAACCAACACCACCGAGAGCACAGAAGGCGCGAACACCGTCCCAGCTTCCGCGTTCTTGAGTTACATTTCTGGATGTGCCATCTCTTCTTATCCGGCCTCTTCATGCGCAGTCTCCTCTTACACGGCCTCTTCATGCGCAATCTCCTCGTACACGGCCTCCCTCTCGAGTCTCTCAGACTCAGAAGCCACTTCTTCCAGCACGGAGTCCTCAGAATCATCATCCCACGCCTCCAGGTTTATTCCACCTTATACTAAGCCGATTGCCATCAAGTACCCTCCCGGCCACAAACGGTATCGCTATATGCGCTATCTGGAAGCCGATCATGTCTACTGGATGAAGACGCAATGGCGAACCCGCAATCATAAAGACCTTGTGCACCATTCTGATGACACCGTGGAAGACTACGGCATGGACAAGCGGTGGAAAGACCCGAAGTTGCATCGGGAGAGGGTTATAGGCGGGTATCGCATCCAGAGTGAGGGAGTTGAAGACAAGGTCAAGGACAACGACGACAAGGGTGCGGTTGAGACGGAGAATGGTGCGGACTGTGACTCGAGTCTTCCCATACTTGACGAACATCAGCCAAATACGGACAATAACGACGACGCCGCGTCCTACGTCGACGAGAAACCCCACCAGAACGAGCACGGAGACGTTATGCCGGAAAAGCTATCACTTGAGAGCATGGCTGGGAATAAGAAGGACAACGCTATCTGGGACTCGAAAATTCTCCTTCTTGACGAACATCCGCCAAATACCGACAATGACGATGACACCGTGCCCGACTTCGATAAAGGCCTACACGGACGAGCACGGCAACGCCATCTTGAAGATGCTGTCACCCGTTAGCGGGTATGGCGACCAGGGTGAGGGCGATAAGTCCTGGCTTAAGAGGGACTGAGAGGGCGAGGGCGTGGTCGGGAATAAGAAGGACAATGCTATCTGGGACTCCAAGGTTCTCCTACTTGACGAACATGCGCCTAATACCGACAAAAACAACGACGCCGCGCCCGACTTTGACGAAAAGGCCTACAAGGAGGAGCATGGGGACGCTATGTTGAAGATGTTATCACTTGAATAGCTCACTTCAAACCAGCATGCAGCAAGAGGAGTCCTGGCGCAGTAGATAGCGGTTCTTTCCGGCTTCAGTAAGGCCAACATGTAGTCAGTACGATAATTTAACATTTCTAAACTAGACCCTCGTGCAACTGTGATTGATTGTGATGTTAAAATCGGAAAGGAGGACGTCCGATGTCGGGATCGCAGAGCGGGTGGTGTTGGTTTGGAGGCGTGGTGGCGCTGTAGGGGTGCCCCAACGTGCTTGAAGATTTTCAGGTGGATGTAGAGGATTAGAGGGTTGATATTAGAAGGGAGATAAATCTGCGATTTTTCTAGGCAGCTGCCGGCGTCAGAGGTGATCTAATTAGGTGTAAATCCGCAGAGTAGGATGTCAAGTTTCGGAGAGTGTAAATCGGGTGCATGGATTTTACATCCAACGACTTTAGATCAAGCGCACAAAACGAGCGTTCTTGACAGTAACCGGATCGTCTCGAGGCACCCCTGGCCTAATACGCCTTTCGAGTTATAAGATGTCAAGTTTGCGAACATGGAAATTGGGTGCCTAGATTTCACATCTAAGCTCTCGATATCGGGGGCAACGGATGAACCTTTTGACCGCAATCTGATCGATTCAAGACACCCTGGGCCCAAAGAACTTCAGGAATCATGAGATGTAAAGAACTAGAGGGTGTGAATTGCACGGGATGGAATAGTAGGGTTTTCCAGGTACATGCAGCCGCGGAGGTGGCCCAGATGAGCGTAAAAACGCAGAATGAGATGTTAAGTACTGGACTGCAGAAATCAGAAGGGTGGTAGATTTAGTATATTTCCAACTACTTTAAGCTTAAGTGCACGGATATGCTACTGCTCTGGCTTCACTCTTACTCCCTCGACACCACCGCAAGGAGTTCCCTAGGTAACATATCTTCAGTTAGTCAAAGGGTAGTCTAGTTTCCATTGCGGTGACTTCTACATCGTATTTAGAGTTCCCAAAGCCCATCGGGGTACCCCAGCCAGTTGCAAAGAGTCTTCAAATTTATGTCTTGGTAGTGTAGATAGACGAGTGGAATAAAACCTCGGAAAGTGCGGGGCAGGGCCTAGGGGAAGATCATTCTACCGACCTCAAGACACCATTCATTTCTAGTCCATCTCAACACCATGACGCGATACAGGTCGAAGTCCATACACGGCATCATCAACAACATTCAGGAAGTTCTGTCACTTATCACGAAAGGTGGGCCTAGAGTGTCCGGTTTCGAAGCCACGAGCCAACCCCAGCCGGACCACCACGTTGTGTCCATACTAGCAATGTACAGACCGGGATACCGAAGCCGCGCATTGCAAGCAGCATAATCAAGAGGTCGATGAGAGTGCTTTAGGCTCTGAGGAGATTAGACGCAGCGTGGGCCTATTGCTCAGCGACATGAGCTCCAATCGTATTCAGCTCCTAAAGCCACCGCGTATCCAGTACCACAGTCCCTTTTTTACACCTGCCTAGACCTCGCGTAGCCCTACGAGCTAAGTTGCAATTACCGTTGGAGATGCAGGTCCCCTCCGTTCACGCTGATTGGTCTCTCGGAAACCAGCCGCTTTCGGTTCGCTCTCTTGAAACTAGCTCTCTTAATGAACTTCAGCACGATACTGTGTGGAGTCTGTTTGTCACTTGGTCGTTACAAAGGGTAAGCGGAGACGATTGTGTCGCTATTAGAGTCCATCACCAGCACAAGGCACTGAGCCAGCGCTGCTGCAAGGCGTGGAAGAAGCAAGCATAGTGGCCTCGTATCGTGCCGTCGTTGCTGTCGAAATTGTGGTCCCGAAAAGCGCCACTGTCTGCCGCCCGATCGCAGGTCCCGATCATCCCTGCTGCGATCAATTCCGCGGACGCCTCGCAGGTCCAGGCCGACCTGCCATGGTTCCCTAGTACAACACAACGGCAGGTACACAGCGCGGCAGACGCAATCTTTCCTTTTGGCGGCGGCGGCTCCGCGCAGCGAAGCATCCAGCCTCCTACATCACTTTATGACTTCCTATGATGACTTCCTGTGATGGGTCACCAGAACGGCCTGATATGCATCGGCACCGGTTGCCTATGGGTCGCACCGTCTGCGGTTGCCATCTTTGTGGGTGCAGCAGGGCGCATAAAGCGTAGACATTTCCTGTCTGGATATTTCCTGCTTGTCCCTTTCATTCATTTTCTCAGCAATCTACTCGTACTCGCTTCTCACCATGAGCGCATTAGTCCAGTGTTGATGCACGCTCGAGTTTCCATACATGTAACAGGCAATAGTACATCGTAGCTGATTGACAGCCTGTCTCTTGTGTTTCTTACTATCCTATTGTACCACGAGTGAGGCAAATACCTTCCGGATGGCCGACCTGCCCTTTTCACTGCCCCCGAGGGTTTCCAGCAAGGCCGGCAGCCCCATCATGCCTTTCAATCCTTCTAAACTACTACCTGAGAAAAGTCCGATCTTCGACGAGGCGGCCTTCATTCCTCCGGACGCGTCCTCCCCAGACAGCTCGCCCGCGCACTCCTTTGATTCCGCTGAAGGCGACCCCTTGGAGCAGACAGAGCCGACAGCCCCTACACAGAAAAGCTCTCGAGAGCAATTGCAGGACGACCAACCCGGATACGATCTCAAAGCTCCCCCTCCTTTCATTTCGCACGCCAATGGGGAACGACTGTCGGACAAGCTGTTCTCCGCCAGCCATCTCGATCTAATATTGCGCGACGATGATTTGGCGCGCCCGTTTAAAGCCTTCATTGATAGATACAGGCCATTGTTAACACCAACTCTGTCGCAATACATTGATTCGCAGAAAGCCACATTTGCTGTGCAATATGCGAACGCTGTGATAGAGGAAATGGGCTCCAGCCGGGCTCCGTCTAGAGCAGCCGCAACTCTGACTTCATCCTTTTATTCAAGGGCGCGACTAGCTCTCGAGGAATTGGTTACTGGTGCATTACCGGCGTGGATCACGCATCGATATATATCTTTGGTCACAGAGTGCTTGGTAAAAGAAATAACGGGAAATAATGCGCCGCTCATGAGGCAGCTTGTGCAAGGGCTGGCTGAGGTCTTTTGCTTGACGGACCCGTCAATAGAGGATAATCCAATTGTATACGCGTCTGAAGGTTAGCTCTAGACTGTGTAATCATCTGTAACCCTTACTGATGACTCGTAGAGTTCTTCAAGACCACACAATACGGGAGGGAATACGTGCTTGGCCGCAACTGTCGCTTTCTCCAAGGCCCAAAAACATCGAAAGCATGTGTCACACGACTCCGATCAGCTATAGACGGCGGGCAGGAAGTCTGCGACGTGATTCTCAACTAGTAGGTCTTTAGGAAGCATGGTTCTATGTAAGCATTCTGACACCAATCAGTAAAAGAGACGGCACCCCCTTCATCAATCTCGTCCTGGTTGCGCCTCTATACGACAACAAAGGCAAGATCCGCTACTTCATCGGCGCACAAATCGACATCACCTACCTTGTCGAAGGCGGCCGTGGCCTCGAGTCTTTCCAGCGCCTGCTGAGCGAAGAAGTTAACCGTAGCGCCTCAATCAACTCCCTCCATAAACCTTCCTTGAAAGATCTCGCCGAACTCGGCCAACTTCTCGACAACGACGAAAAGCATGCACTGAACTATGAGCACCGCCCAAACAGTCGCAGTGATTCCGGCCGCGACACCCCCATGCGACCCAGCACCGCGCGCACCACACGACGTTACGTAGGCATGGACGAAGCAGAGGCAGAGGCGAGCATGTGGCCGCCGTCGCAATTCGGCCCTTCGGGGCGGCTGCCGGGTGTGTATCAGAATGTAAGTCAGACAGTGTGCTTCCACTTCTTTGACTAAGTCTCTTATCCATTTCCCTATCCTCGTTGCTCCCTTTTGATCTTCTTCCTCCCCATTGTAACCGATGTTAACAAGAGAGCAGTACTTCCTCGTTCGCCCCGCCCCCTCCCTCCGCATCACCTTCCTCTCCCCGGCACTCCGCATCCCAGGCCTCCTCCAATCGCGCTTCCTCTCGCGCATCGGCGGGCCCACACACGTCCGCGAGGGCATCACAGAGGCGCTCACCCAGGGCATCGGCGTCACGGCGAAGATTTCCTGGCTGCATAGCGTCCACCACTCCGCCACTGCGAGCTCCGAGGACTCGGAGACGGCCCCTGATAACTCGGCTGACGGCAAGCCGCGCTGGGTCCACTGCACACCTCTTATCGGCTCGGACTCGAAGGTCGGCGTATGGATGGTTGTAATGGTGGAGCGAGAGGATGTGACAGGGCGGTTGAATGTCGCGGAGAGCTACCCGCGCGATGTAGCGCCAGGGATTGTGGGGGTTATTGGGGGTGCGGCGGGGCAGTATCACTATCCCTTCAGGGGCGCGGCGGGGAAGAAGTTCGAGGGTGGGAAGCTGTACGCGGACTATCTACGGCGAGAGGGCAAGTCCGATGCGCCGAGCGAGCGGAGTGTAGCCAGCAGCAATGGGCGGGACAGCAGGAGTTTCACTGGGTATGGGGGCGCGGGTCTGCGGCCTAAGCGGAGCGGGAGCAGGCGGGCCGGGAGGGAAGAGATGTTTGGGTTTCAGGAGGGTTGACAGCGATAGTTTGAGCGGTGGGTGGAGTTATATGTGGAGAGGAGTGGGGATGAGAGGAGGGGGAGTATTCGATGGAGAGGGGAGTCGGGGGTTTATGAGGGGGATATACCAGAGGTGTTTTGGCCTATTGATTATGCGCTGGTTAACTGATATTGTATATACCTCTTCTACTACCTCCTTTTTTGCAATTTTGCACCTACCTAGGCCACCTCTACGCCGACAGCTACCTAGAGATATCGCAGATTTACTGCCTTCTAAATTTCCCTCTAGTCCTTTACATCCACTTGAAAATGTTTTAGCACGATGCCACCTCCTACAGCACCACCACCCCTCCAAACCAACATCACCCTCCCGATTTCAACATCAAAATCAATCGCAATAGCACGAGAGTCTAAATTAGAAGTGTCAATTCGTCTCACTAACTGCATTATTAGCCTTATTAAAGCCAGAAAGAACCACTATATATTGCACCAGGACTCCTATTGCTAGCATGCTGATTTGAAGTCCGTTTTAAATAGGACAACGACCAACTGGAAGGATTAGGGGGAGGGGGCAAGCTTCCACCACTAGAAGCACCAGCAATGCTGCTAGTTCTAAATCACTTTATATACCTTAAGTACCGCTCGAGTTATACTAAAGTCTTCTTCTTATCATGACCACCTGCAAGCCTTGATATTCAACATCGAAACCTTCTTCCTCTTCCCGACGTCTATTTTTCCTTTTGTTTACCGTTATCTCCTTCGCGGCCTTTATAGCTCTACTGTTTCTCTCACCGCTTCATCGTTTCTATCCGGTGTGGGGTAGTTGGTTATCATATATATGTTGCCAGGGCTCAACGCTTGGTGGGTCCCGGGCATAGAAATATGCTGTCTGTGGGCTCATCACTTGACGGGTCCAGGGCATAGAAGACCCAAGTTCGACCCTTGGCGCCGGACGTCCTCCTTTTCTTTTGCTGGTTCTCTCTCTTTCAAGTTCTCTTTTGCTCTAGCAAAGAGTCGTTCCACAGTTTTTATAAGCTCGTTAGTAGGTAGTGCGCAGAATATAAACATCCGGTGTGGTTTAGTTGATTATAATTGTTACAGACAGACACAAGTTCGATCCTTGGCGCCGGACATCTCATATCTTTGTTCTTTCTTTTTGCTTTCGGGATGGTTGAAAGTGATAAGAATGATGCGGTATTGAAAGAACTTATAGTATAGTGAGACTTGGTGAATGGCCCCAACGTGTTCGGGAGAGTTAGCTCTCTTTTCTTGCCCTCCGCAGAGCATTGACATGCGGAATTATTATGCCGTTATGTTGGCTACGTCTCCAATTTTGGTATTAACTCCGGTGTGGTTTAGTTGGCTATAATTGTTACACACATGCTGGTGACAGAGACAAGTTCGATCCTTGGCGCCGGACATCATTTTAGTCTCTCTTTTTGCTTCTAAGATAGTTTAGTGGATGAAATGTGTTCAAACAAGAGGCTTGTGGCATGGTAGAACTTTAATGACATCATGCGTATGCCCCCTCGCGAGCCAACTTTGATCTCCAATTCACAGGAGACATCATATCACACCTTTATGATGGCGTTCCTTTGGCGGCACGTTCAACTTTAATCCTCAATCCGGTGTGGTTTAGTTGGCTATAATATGTCTCGGCAATGGCCGCCAGTAGTGGTTAGCCAGTGATGGCTAATCCCTATAATGGCTGAAGGCCGTTACCGGGTACAAGACCCAAGTTCGATCCTTGGCGCCGGACATACGTTTCCCTTTTGTTTTTGTTCTTGTCTTTTTGGACGGTGAATTGAATGGGGGGCTTGCGCTGAAGAGAGCCAGGAGAGTTTGAAATCGGTAAATTAGGGGATTCATGAGGCCGTTCAGGTCCACGAATATCATCAGTGAAACGGGAATGAATCTTTCGGGAGTCTTGTAAAATGAAATCAAGTTGAAGCGAGGAGATGTGTTATGGTAGTTTAACTACTAAGATTTTGAATGATAGGGACAGTCTGGGCCCGTATATTTGGAGGAAGTTTGATAGATGGCGTGAAAGGCTCAATGAGCAGGCGCAAAAAGACCGCGACCAGCAAGCAGCAGGTCCGATCTGTAGTAACTGGGGCCACAGAGGATTTGTTTACTATGCATCAAGGGGCACGGCAGTCCGGTCCACACAAAGACAACGCCAATTCAAGAATTAATAAAGGTATAGGACAAAGAATGACGTAAAGATGAGAGCCGAAGAAGTAGATACCGAAGTATTCGATGCCAACACACTTGTCCAAACCCGGCTAGTACTCACTTCTACGCTTGGCATGCGTGATGCGAGGAGTCCATTACTACAAAGGAGCCATATTATTTGAGGAAGCGGGGTGGTCGGAGAGAAGCGAAAGTCTCGAAATGGGGTTCTATAAGATGCATATGTGCTCGAGCAGTGGAAAATATGCGAGGAGTGTATAGCGTTACGCCATCGAGACTCGACAGGCTATCCTGAGGTGTTATTTTAGTAATGATCCTTTTCGCTCCTTGATATCCCTCTGGTACATTCTGGAGTCAATTGTTTTGCATTCGGGGATATTTGCGATAGTTTCCAAGCCTGACCTGCGTTTTTCAGGCATCGGCGTTAGTGCGAAACCAGCTTTTAGATAGTTGACAGATAGAAACTCATCGAACGCTCCCGTGAAGCTTGATCATTACACGCTGATCGCTATTGGACGTCGAAGGAGGTTGTTGATGAAGTCGGAGAAGTCTAACTCCGCAACGCTAGGACCACCACCTGCACGTTTCGACTCACAGGAACCACCATCTACAACTCAGCCTACGCTACTTTTTTCCTAACACATGAATCTCCAAGCTCTAACTACCTTATTCAAAGTAAAAGTATGCAACCTTAGCGATCGTACACAGTTATGACCGTCCCTTCGCCCAGAACGCCTCTGAAACCTACCTCGACTCAATGCCTCCCCCGCTACCCCCCTCCTCCACCCTGCACACGATCCTCCTAGTCACCAAATCGCGCTCCCTCGGGCCCCGCCTGGTCTTCCACTACCCGCCAGCCTCTCCCTCCGCCGCGTCCCTAGCCGCGAACACCCCAGCTGCCTGGTACGGCACCGCGACCTCGACAAGCGACGATACCGATAGCAGCTCCAGCGATTGGGACAGCAGCACCGAAGATGGCGCTGGTGACGACGAGGAAGCCGGAAGCCGTGCTAGTGGGAGTGGGCGCGCTGGTGGGTCGCGGAGCGTACACAGCCATCGCACGCGGTTGACAGCCGGCGGCTTCAGGACGTTGGAGGGCTTCGACGAGGATGACGACGGGCTGGGAGATGATATGAACGGGGATAGCTCGAGGAAAGGCAATGGGCTGGGCAGGGAGGGTAAAGACGGGGGTAAGGCGGAATGGGAGACTGTACTGGGGTTCAAGATGGATGCGCTGGAGAAAATGCTGACCCCGGGCAAGTCGTTCAATAAGAGGCGGTTTGAACTAGGTGTGGAGGGGATCGTGTTCGTGGGCGCGCCTATGTTTGTGAGGGATGATGGAGGGTGGAAGAAGGGGAGGCGGTATGGGAATAAGGAGATGCGCGCGAGAATGGGCCCGGATGCGGTTAATGAAGCTAACAATTCGAAGGGTTTTGACCAGGACGAGGGCGTGGGTCTCGACGAGCCGGATTCTGAGAAATTCATATACCCGGAAGGCTTCGAGCCGGGGTACGGGCATGGCTTAATGTCTGGAGCTGCATCTGGGGCAGTGTCCGAGGCGGGTTCGGATACTAGAAGTCAATCGACGAACGGTTCAACGCCTGATATGACTATGTTCAATATAGTCTTTGTGCTTAATCCTCCTGCGTTGGAGTACCAACTACGAGTGAAGGAGATGTACGACAACGTAGGCAGGAAGTACGCGAAGGCCCTCAAATATGAGCAAGCAAAGTTTGACTACGTCTGGAAAGAATCAAAAAAGATAATGGCTATGAAAACTGGGGCCATAGAGAACGGTAAGGCGATATTGAACGCCCTGTTTTGTAGACATTAAGCTAATCACGCTTCCCTTTTAGGAGAACCAATGTCATTGGCATGGCATAAGATTATATCCAGTTCTCCTCTTGCGAAGTCTATTGCTACTATATACGATTCGATTTCCAACGACAAGATAGCTCATGTTCACCTTGACGCTACATTTGACACATCGTTCCAGATACCTCAAGCTGTGTCCACTCCCTATATCCCCTCCGCTATGGAACCACAAATGCCTGGCCTATGGCTGACGACCGCAAATATTGTCAATGATGATGAGCCCGAACTCAACTTTACTCAACATTATGCGCTTCTGCTTCTCGAAGACACTGAAACTCTTGTGAAGGAGCTTGAAAGAGATGCGAAAGACAACGCCATAGCTTTCTACATTCGTAGCGTCACTCCTACAAAGTCTCTCCATAAGCTGTCCATAGCTCATTCGATCCCGTCGCAGGATATTCAATACATCGCGGGTCATCTTGTGTATTGGCGCAGAGCACGCCTCATTCCTCCCCTCCATCAAAGAGACACCTACATCGTTTCGCCTAATGCCGATATGCGAGCCTTGAAACAGGCCGTCTCAGCATATGCCGCACGGTTTCCAACTCTTCCGTCTTTACCAGAAATGTTGCATAGACTTTCAGGCCCTCCTAGGCCATATGCCAACTATATCCCGAGTCCAGATCACCGACAAGTGTACATGGAGATACTAGCATGGCTAATGCGAGGTGGCTGGGTCACACAACTGAGAACGTTCGCGTGGGTAAGAGTGCCGGTAGAGATCAAAGCCCAAGTAGCTGCAACCATGGAGCGCGAAGCATCCCTGAAGAAAGCAGCAGAGATGGAAGCTGCTCGACATGGCGAAGACAACGACCCGATCGCCTCAGTAGGCGACTCTATCTTGTCTAGTGGCGAAAGTGGACATATGAAAAAGAGCTCGCTGCTCAGTGGGAATTGGCCAGCAACGCCAGTTCGTCGTTCGCCTCACAATGAAGACACAGAGGCTATGGAAGCATCGACTATTATCTCTCCACGGCTCCAGCCTTACCGGTCTCCAGCGCGGCCCTCGTCTGATGCTGGAAGTACGAGTAGCTACGCGACTACGGTTCCAGCAACTTCAAGTGCAGCTGTTGCCACCTCACCGCAGTCGCAAAATCTTCCACATCGCCCCTCACCGCTCCACTCCAACACAGCAATACGTGCGTTCTCGCCTTCACGCTCACGGCCCTCAGCACCCCCTAGTATCGTCTCACCAACTACGGGCGGCCCCTTTTCGCCGTCGCAAGAGACAACCGTCGAGGCAGCATCCTCGAAGTTCGAACCCAGTCTGATTCTCTCGCCTCAAAAAGCAAATGAGATTGAAGCACGGTGGCTAGAACAGATATGCGCTTCCTTTCGCAACGCGGATCTTCGAGAGATGTGGCCGACATTGCTCAAGTATTTCGATGGGAAGCACGCGCTGGATGATGTTGCGTTGCGCGAGGGCTTGAAACGGAAGAGGATCGCGGCACTTGTTGGTATGATTAGGGAAGGAGGATGGCTGTTGACGGTGAGGCATTGGTGAGTGACCTTTTTGACGCCATCTGCATCTAATTGGAACTCCATGAAAAGTTTTTTCTTCGTGTATCGATGTTTAGTAGGATACCCAGGATGCTTGGCAGCAGCCGAGACGTTTCAGCAGAGACGTTTAACATTTGTTTCACGCTACTCCCAAGCACTTGAGGTGCCCAGAAGATGATTCTCCAATGCAATCTACGCGGAATAAAACCATTCTCAATATCGAGCTGCTTTGCGATGCTGATTGGCAATCGAAATTGAAGTTATGAACGATGCCATTGTCTAGCTTCGCTGCCCTCGCCCCTCGGTGGAAATGAAAGGACGTCATGGTGCGTCAGCCATGAAGGCAATGGTGTCCCACAGACTCTTATGCATGAATAAGACATTCTCGAGATGACAGGCCGCTAAAAGACCCTGCATCGAGCGGTCAAATCACAGCAGGAGTCGTCGATCTCTGAATCGGATCAGATCTGCAACCCTGGGCGCCACTCCCGCACTGACCAAACTCTAACGAAAGCTCAGCGAAAGTTGTTGCCATCAGACCACCACGAGCAACCCGCCTCCAGCAACACTACCAGCTTCTGAATCTTCCGGGGATATTCCTAGAATATAGTCGTGATCATGAGTTCTTTCGGCGGCCCTGGAGGAGGTCAGAAGGTCTTCAAGCCAACCCCGTACGTGTGTGCAGCAGCCATCCCGCCCACCCCTCCCCACAGCAGTCCATCACCACCATCTCGCGTTGATCGCATCCTCTTCCGGCTCAATTGCTGCCTCCGAGCCGACATCGGAACACCACAGCTGACCTCGTCCCCATCGCAGACCCGAACGAGGATCCTTTCCACTCGATCACGACGGTCCGTCCCTCCCTCGTCCCAGCACCACCCCTTCTCCCTTGCCGTGCCCAACAAAAGCCACCTCTTCACACTCTCTGAGACATGAATGATAGCAAACGGCAGCTGATACGACCCATTCCATAGGCGAGTGCAAAGCGGTGATGACCTCCTACCTACGCTGCCTGCGTTCGCATCGGGGGATGAACGACCCGGAATGCCGGGGGCTGTCCAAGTCCTATCTGCAATGCCGCATGGAACGGTACGTACCGATGCCACCTCTTTATCGCTCGCGTCGCTCTCGAAACTCCCACGGCCAAGCGGTAAACATAGCAGCCAGCCCGCCATTCCCTTGCATTCTCTTCGCTTGTGATACCACCCTGTCACAAATAACCTTTTCGCATTCCACATCTGTCAAGTCTCACCCATAGCCCTTGCTGTCTCTCAACGCTCTGCCGTCAGTAAAGCCGTCCCTGGTGGATGGGAAGACCTGGGCGTAGACAGAGGCAGGAGGCTGGCTATCCCTTGCGCCCAGCGGACTTGAAACCATCCTTCCGTTGCACCGCTGCCGCTGCCGTGTGATCACTCTCTCGGCCTGTGCCGATCACAGTCCACCTCCGCTACGCTCCACAGTTAGCTCTTTTGTCTTTTGCATCCTGCGTCTGCACTGCTAACGCTAAGGCTCCTGGACAGCAATCTCATGGCGCCTGACTCGATGAAGAATCTCGGGTTCCAGGACCTCGATGCCGCGACCACACAGGACGCATCAGCGACTACCACCTCTCCGCCCGGAAACAGCAGCACCGATGCGACCACACAGCCAGCCTCGTCGTCGTCGTAGCGAAAGTCGCCGCCATGCACAATCGGAATGCCGTCCTGAAGCAGCATCTGCGCCGTACCCAGCGCCGGCTCCCTCGGGCGGGAAGGAGAACGAGCCGCTTACCCACCCCCATCTCACGTTGCCCACACACTCCACCTTCACCTCGCATTCCTCAACCCTCCCCACTCCGCGCTCCCCACCTCTCTTCACCACAAAGAAAACACAGCCACGTCACATGTCCCCGTGTCACGGCACTAGTCGCCACCGCCCGCAACTTCCCTCCGCGTCCCACCGTATCCCCCCACCCACTGCTGTTGACGCGTCCTGGCAATGCGTCACAGCGGCCGTTCTTGCGCAACGCGCCGTGAAGTACGCTGTCGTGGGTTAAAAATAACATCTTCTGAGGGCGTACGAGAGTGGGTCTGGGCGCTGTGTCTGACGTTGTACGCTCAGCGTCCGCCGTTTCGGAAGGGCGTACCGTTGGGGTGTGTTATCGATACCCCCCAACCCCGCGGGAGAGTGCCGCTCGTGATGGGCTGCTCGCTACTTCCTATCATCCTGCGATTAGGGAAATATTTTTCAGCGGGAATGGGTGAATAGGTCGGCTTCATGTAATCAGTAACTGTATTATCACTTTGTAAACTCGAGGCAGAAAGAAATCAAGCGTATCTTCTCCCGATCTTGCTACAGTCTTTCTCGTAACTTGCAAGCATGCCACCCCAACAATTCTCCGAGCCTGACAGCTGCCGTGCCCACCCCTCC